ATTTGTCTTGTAATTAAATAAGAAAAAATTAGCCATAATTGAAACAATATATTTTCTACTTTAATCAATTACGTACAAATTAATCCATTAAATGAGGTTAAAATGAGTTTTAGACAATTACTTTCAAACTTCCAAGTAAGTTCAGTCACAGTACTTATCATCGTTTTGTACCAAAAGCTCTGAATTAATGTATATTTAGACAATTCTTATGATCATATTCTGTATTTTTCTTATCGATGTTCTCAGTGTTGTTTGTGTGTGTTAGTGATGTGAATTTTTTTATCTCCAAAATAAAAATTTAATAAAATTTTACATTGATAAAATCAACTTTTTATAAAAATTAACTACAATTTTACTTTATTAAATCGATTTAATAATATTAAATTAATTACATCATCTATCACAATTAGTTTTAATGATTTAAAATATTTTCTAAAGATAAAGACTATAATAAAACTATATTAATTAAATATTCGAGTGAATATAATATTTATCTTATTAAATTTATTTTAAAAGTTTTGTTAGATATTTTTCATTATTTGCAATCAGAAATATTCATTTATTATTGTGATAATTATCTATTTCAATAATAAAAATGTAAATTCTTTTTATATTTATATATTTCTTGTTAACATATTAATATTTTTTGAAAAATTTAATATTAACATTTAAATAATAATTAATTATTTATTTTATTAGTTTTATAAATATTAAAACAAACTTTTAATAATTAAAAATAAAAATTTAACTTATAAATATATGAAGTAAAATTGTCAACTAAATAACGATTATTAAATATAAATAAATAATTTATAAATTTTAATAATAGAGGTAATGTTATCTAAAATACAAGTAATTTGATTATTGAATTTTTTTTTCTTCGTACTTGGATGTATTAAAAATAGGGATGGCAAAACGAGTCGGTCATAATATGGTGGGACGGGTTGGTGTTTTCAGCTCACTAGCCCATTTTGGCCCGCCTCGCCAAGCCCGTCAACCCGTCAGGCCAACTCGCGGGATGGGGCGGACTCGACCGCGACTCGCCTAATTAATAAAAAAATAATTTTTTATTGTAATAAAATTAATTATAAAGATAATGTATAAAGTTAAAAATTTTAAAAAGAGAATTAAAAAAGTTTCATTTTCACGAGAAAATATTCTCCTTCCCGAAACATAACATTCTCTCATGTTCTCCTTGTTTATCCTACGCACTCGATTATTTTTATCCTTATTACTTGAATTAAAGGTGTAAGAATTACTCAACCAAGAATAACATGAAGTTTTATCAAATAAAAAAGATATAGATATTTAAATTTTTCAATATAAAAAATATAAATTTTATAAGTTTAACGTTATATATATATATATATATATATATATATATATATATATATATATATTTGTTATTATTCATTATTATGTAAATTTTATTATTATTCTAAATTATAATTTCTTAAAATAATGTATTGATTTATATTATTAAATTGAAATAATATATATATATATATATATATGAATTATTGACAAACAAATAATAATTTTATTATTAAATTTATTAAAAAAAATTATTTAAAAAAAATTATTTTTTTCTAAATTATAGTAGGCAACCTGCCAACCCGTCCCTTAGTGGGGTAGGCTAAAGTCTACATGACGTTATGACTATATCGAGCTAATTCAGTCCCGCTTTTAGCGAGCCAAAGACAGGATCGAGTCAAAACGGACGAGCTGACCCGTTTTGCCATCCCTAATTAAAAAGACTCGAAAATAATTTTTTTAAAATATTATATAATTATAAATATAAATAATCATATTATTATAATATAATACTCTTAAAATATCTGTAATATCCCTTCTATAGCTCATTATTTAAGTTCGGTCACGTTTTCCATATTGGAATTAAAGTGGTATGCAAGTGGGCGCATGTCGGCTACCATAAATGCACCCACAATAATCAATACTTCCTTCCACTGTGCGTGTAGTTTAAGACTATATCGCCCATTATTAAAATTATTTTACGAAATAATTTTATTAAAATTATATCATTTTTTATAAAAAAATACATTAATTTAAAAATATAAAAACATATTAAAAATAATAGAAAAAAAAACCATTGACCACTCTTTTTTTCATATAATAATAATAAAATTTAAATTTGTATATTTACTGTTTATTATTAAAAGGTGTTATATATATTTAATGCTAAAGAAGAAAACAACGGAATACTATGCAGCTAGCTGCTGAGATAAATGACCTGTTCTTCAACGTTGAAATAGGTGAGTGAATTCTTCTCTTTAATATTTTTTTTATAAAAAAATAAAAAAGATACTAAACTGAGTTTTAATAACATGAATTTTGACTAATAAAAAAAATAAGAGTTACGTTCCGATTGGTCGATGATTCTTTCTATTATTTAGATTTAAAGTGAAAATAAAAAATAGTGTATATATATTATTCATTTTTTATTTATTAAATAGTATTTTAAACACAGAATCAGATAGAAAAAAGCATTAAAATATAATATTTTAAATATAAAAATGAATCTTAATAATATTATTGAAATACTCTTAACTTTATGATTGTTACAACTTATTGGATACAAAATGAATGATGCCCCAGTTTGAAAGAACAAATAATGTGTTTACGATGCTTTTTGAGCTTGTTTTGCGATGTGGATAAGGGGGAGGAAACAGGGATGTGTGGTGGGAATCCTGTACTTGTTTTTCATTTATTCTGCTTCAGACTAGCGTGAAGGATAAGTTGAAGGCCCAGAGGAGTCCAAGAAATGAAGAAAAGATGTGCAGTATGCAGAGAAGGTTTTGTCTCCTGCACTCCACACAAATTCCTTCTCCCAATACAAAACGTTGATATGAATTAATGAACAAATTTAAAAAACCAGTAAATACTTTTTAGGACACCGAGAAGAAATCATGATCGGTCCCTTTCAAGTTTGGAAGACCGAAATTCACTTATATGTTTTGTATGAAAGTAGTTGGATACAGATAAGCAATAGAAAAGTTGTGGCTGTATATGCACACTTTAAAAATCCCCACCGTTATTTCTTGTAAATTTTCTTAATAGTCCTTACCTATTATTTGTCAATTTCCTACATTATTATAATCTGCTTTAATTATTTTTTAAAATTCTGATTATAAGAAATTCGTGCTTTCAGATACAATTTTATATCAAAAAAATTAATTGTAAAATATTTTTTTTAAATAATTGTAATAGATATTTTTTTTATTTGAATACACAATTGTAATAGATTTTTTTCTTATTGAAATTACTTCTTAACGACTATTATAATTAAATATTTTTGTTAATACTAAAGTTTGATAGGTGATTTTAGTTAATTTTTTTTTAATTGGAATTCTTAATTGATTAATGATTTTAATTCATAGATTTTAAATTAAATTTTTTATTTTTATTTACTAAAAATTTGATTTTAATATTTATTAAAATAATTAATTAGTATTTAGATATAATAATATTAAATAATTTTAAATATATTAAATTATTGAAATGAAAATATTAATATACTTTATTATTATTATTATGTATTATCTCTTTTAATTTTATTTAGTAGACATATTTATTAATCATAAAAATTTTTATTATTGCATAATGTTCTCCTAAAATCTATATTCTAAAAAAATAAACTATGGTTTGTTAAACGGGACACCAAAGTAGAGTGCATGTTACGAGTAGAACATCATTGTCCGAATAAGATTACTAACTTGCTTAGAGATAATGAACAATGTGTTAAGGATTTAAGTGTATTTGAAATCCCATAATGGATAAAAATGAGAAAATTAAATAATTTATAAGTGAGGGAAAATATATAACCTAATATCTTTAGGTTTTTTTTGTTAAAAGTAGTGTCAATCTCTTATATGAGTTGAGTTCATGTCTTGTTAGTGTTGTTTTTTCTCAAAAATACATAATAGTGATGTTAGAATTGATGGTTAATCTGATGACTAATTTAGATTATTCATAATTTAACTATATTTGAAATTACATATTGAATAAAAATAAAAAAGATAAATAACTGATGAATGACTAGTGGTATGACTCTACATAGTTTTAATAAGATTTATTTTATCTTCTTATTTAGGTCAAAAATTTATTCTTAATACAAATTTATATTGATAATAATTAAGAAGACTAATAAATAACATTCACAATAAAATAAATAAAAACTAAAATCGTTAATTAATTAGTGACTTAAGAAGAAAAAAGTATTCTCAACTTTAGTATAAAAAAATTAAATTGAAGTCGTGGTTCAATTGACAACTTCAGTAAAAAAGAAAATTAAACTAAAATTATCAATTAATTAGCAATTTCAATGTTTTAAAAAATTATATTAAAATTGTTCATTATAAAAATTATTACATTGAGAAAGTCATGCAATCATACACGATTTAGTATTGAAAAAATCATATATTCATGTACCACTTTCATATCATATACAATTTTAATGAAAGTCGTCTTACCACAACTTTCTGATTGTGAAATCGTGTATCAAATTACGAATTATTTAGGAAAAATTTTAAAAATTTACCCATTTTAAAAATAAATAAAATAAATTTCATTATTTTAGCCCATTTCTCGGTTTTAAGACAATATATTATTTTTAATTTAAAATTTTTAAAAGGATTATAATATCGTCTTCCAGAATGCTTTTGTGAAATAATTATTTGATTTTTCGTTGAATGTATAAATAGTTAACTTGTGTTATATAATATAAAGATAAATGACACTTTAAGTAAAATTAAATTTTGAAAGAATGAAAACTATCTTATTTCTTATTTTTTAATGTAAAACTAATGTATTATGTTTAAAATAAAAATATAAAATTATGAGATGGGTGGATGTTTGGCACAGAACCTCTATGCGTAACATTTTCCTAATTCCAATATGGAAAACGTTACTGGAAATGTGCAATTTGTTCTATAAATTGAAAGAATGAGAAACACGTCGGTGAAAGCAAAAGCAAAAGCAAAATGGGAAGCATGTTAATGATGTTGGGACTATGCGTCCTTCTCTTGTGGCCATTTCCAGTTGCATTCTCTGAGCAGTGCCACCCACACGACAAGAAGGTGCTCCTCCAATTCAAGAAGGAACTCAACAACCCTTATTTCTTAGCCTCCTGGAACCCAAAGGAGGATTGCTGCACCTGGTACTGCGTCGAGTGTGACGACACAACGAACCGCATCTACAAGCTCTTTCTAGTGTCCTCTTTTCCAGACACCAATCTCTCCGGCCAAATACCACCCTCGGTTGGTGACCTCCCTTACCTCGAAGACCTCACCTTCCACAAGCTCCCCAACCTCGTCGGCCCAATTCAGCCCACCATCGCCAAACTCACCAAACTTAAATATCTCATCATCACCAACACTGGAATCTCAGGACCAGTACCCGACTTCCTTGCACAGCTCAAGAACCTCGAGTTGATCAAACTCTCTTTTAACAGCCTCTCCGGCACCATTCCCACCTCACTTTCCCAGCTTCCTAATCTCTCCTCCCTACAGTTGGACCGGAACAAACTCACGGGCCCGATCCCGGCCTCTTTCGGATCCTTCAAGAAGCCCGGGCCTGATCTCATCCTAACCAGCTTTCCGGGCCTACTCCTTCTTCCTTGGGCAACTTAGACCCAGAAAGGATAGACTTTTCAAGGAACAAGCTCGAAGGCGATGCTTCCATGCTTTTCGGGAGCAAGAAAACGACTCAGATACTCGACCTTTCCAGGAACAAGTTCTCCTTTGATCTCTCTCATTTGACCTTTCCCAAGAAAAGCTTGATCTGGTTGGATCTCAATCACAACAAGATTTATGGGAGCATTCCAGCGGCGTTAACCAAAGTTGAAAACTTGCAGCATTTCAACGTGAGCCACAATCCTCAGTTAAGTGGTCAAATCCCGCAGGGTGGGGAATTGCAAAGATTCGATCAATATGCGTATTTTCACACTAAGCTCTGTGGCTCTCCACTTCTGCCCTGCACCAAATAAGATTCTACAAGGCATTCCTTCTTGTTTGAATAAATTAAATTCTCTGTTTTCCTATAAAACATGCCATGCACTGTGTTTCTCACCTACCTACTCCGAGAAATTTGTAGTAGTCATAGGTCAATAGAGAGCACCGAACATGAGAATGCTTTATTGTATGATTGTAATGATATCATGGATAATTGTTGTGTGTAACCACAAGGAATGGGAAATGCTAAAGGAGTTAAGAAAGGTAGATTATAGTATAAGAAATTTTATATTTTCTTTAATTGTTTGGTAAAATTTGTTAAAAATGAATCGAAATATTATTATGTGGTTAAGAACATATAATCAATGAGTTTTGTTTCAAGTGAGATTGAGGTGAACATTGTTGGTTTGTTGAACGCGATAATAGCGCAAGCATTGGAGCGTGACTCATGAGTATATCAGCTCGTGCAAGCATCACAATATGTGAAAGCAATTTCTAGCGGATCCATTTCGTTGGAATGAATCAATGTTTTCAGGTGCATCAAAGTCGTGAAGAATCAAGCCATGCAAGCAAGTTAAAATTTGTGGTTTATCGTTTGCTATCATGTATTCCAATATATGGTATAATGAGAAGCGGTGCAATTGATTTCACGTGATTTCAAGCAAGCGGTGATTCAGTTTTGGACCAGAGCAGAGCCATTGAAGTAGCAGAATCCGTACGAGTTGATTTAACTTGAAGCAAGCAGCAGTGTTGAAAGAATTTGCTGCTAAACATTTGAGTGGGTGAAGGTTAGTCAAACGTTGGAATTGGCAGTGCGATTTAATAAAATTTTGGGGGAAGTAGGATACTCGTTGGAGTCCAAGAGTTTTATAAAAAATCTTTTTGCATATTATTGGATTCTCCAAGTTGCACAAACAACTCATACTCCTCCTAGACCATCGGATGCTTTCTCACTTTTTTCACTTTATCGTGTCTTCATGTTCTATAGTATCTCACATTTGCATGATACAGAACTCATCCGAATTCCAAAATAAACTTTATGATATTCTTCACTTTAGAAACCGATTAATTAAGCTTGTATGTTCTCATAAATTATGGATAATATCATCCCAAATATGTCTATTAATTCAATGAAATTTTTTATCTTAATTTTCCAAAACTTATAATTCATCTTGTTAAAAATAGACAATCTATCCGTAAAAATATTCTCAACAAACAAAAGATTATTTTCACCCAATTATTTTAAATTTGAGTACCGCATAATATGATCCCAATGATTGAAAATAATGATTAAATTTATGAAGGAGATGATTGAACTTTTAATAATTTAAATTATTTTATGAAAATAAGAAAAACAAAATTTTCTTTAAACAACCGCAGCGGACAACACACTTACTGAAAATGTAAAGAAATTCAAAATATAAAACACAAGATTTAAAAAAAAAATATATATATATATATATATATATATATATATATATATATATATATATATATATATATATATAATCATAGAAATTTATATTGGTTCCTCGGTACAACCATACCAACTATGTATTAAAACTTTTTTATAGTTGAAGTGATTAAAAGAAATATACAAGAAAATAAATTATCCTCTAAATTTTCATCACATGTATGATAGAAGTTTTCTAAGAGAAATATATGTATTTTGAATAAAAAGCAGATGGGGGCTGGACTACTGAATTCACAGCTTCAACATGGTTTCTCGTAGTCTCTCGTCGCAACAACAACTATCTTCAAATCTCGGTTCCATTTCCATCTCCACCTTCAATTCCCACCTTAGGTGCATTTCTTGGAACTCTTTTTTCTTTTCTTATGCCCCCCCCCCCCTCCCTTTTTTTTTCCCTCTGATTCTTAAGATTCAGGTACTTTTGTTCTTGGAACACTGTTTTGTCTATTTTGCTCAGAAGGGGTCGCACCAATATGACCAAAGAGGTGTATGATGAAATGCTTCGCACGTATGGTGTTACTCCAGACACTTGTACATACAATGTTTTGATCAGAGGATTATGCAAAAACTCAATGGTTGATGAAGGGTTTCGGTTTTTTAATGAGATGGCCGGGTTTGATTGTAATCCGGATGGTGTCACGTATAACACACTTGTTGATGGTTTGTGTAGAGCGGGGAAGGTCAGAATTGCTCGGAATTTAGTGAATGGTATGAGCAAGAAATGTGAGGGTTTGCATCTTGATGTTGTTACTTATACTACATTGATTCGAGGATATTGTATGAAGCTAAAAGTAGATGAGACATTGATTGTTCTTGAAGAGATGAGTAGCCGGGGCATTGAGCCGAACATGGTTACCTATAATACTTTGATAAAAGGGCTTTGTGAGGCACACAAGTTGGACAAGATGAAAGATCTTTTGGAACGGATGACAGGCAATGGGGGTTTTAGCCCTGATACATTTACCTTTAATACGATTATTCATTCGCATTGTTGTGCGGGAAATCTGGATGAAGCATTGAAGGTGTTTGAAAGCATGAAAAAATTTCGGGTCCCCATGGATTCAGCTTCGTATAGCACTCGATACGTAGTTTGTGTCGGAAAGGGGACTATGATATGGCAGAGGTGTTGTTTGATGAGTTGTTTGAGAAGGAAATCCTTTTAAGTAATTTTGGCTCCAGGCCACTTGCTCGCTTCTTATAGTCCCTTATTTCAGCATTTGTGTGAACATGGGAAGACTAAGAAGGCCGAGAGGGTGATTAGACGAGTTAATGAAAAGGGGCACACAAGATCCCCAGATCGTACAATACATTAATTATGGGGCATTGTAAAGAAGGTGCATATGAAAGTGGATATGAGCTTTTGATGTGGATGCTTAGAAGAGACTTTCTTCCCGATGTTGATATTTATGATCGTTTGATTGATGGTTTTCTTTTAAAGGATAAGTCTCTACTTGCAAAGGAGACACTAGAGAAAATGCTTAAGAGCTCCTATCAACCTAAAACATTCACTTGGCATTCTATACTTGGCAAAACTTTTGGAAAAAGGTTGTGCTCATGAGTCTGCACGGGTTATTATGATGATGCTTGGAGAAAAATGTTAGACAGAATATAAATCTCTCAACTAAGAATTTACAGCTACTTTTTGGATGTGGACGGCAAAAAAGAGCATTTGATATTATTGATTTGCTTTATAAGAATGGATACTAGTGTTAAAATTGAAGAAGTAGCTCAATTTCTTTATGAGAGAGGAAAGCTATTAGAAGCATGCAAGCTGTTGCTTTTTAGTTTAGAAATTCATCGGAATGTCGATATTTATTTGTGTAATGCAATTGTTCTGAATCTTTGTAAAACTAACAAGGTCTCGAAACATTTGGTTTATGCTATGAATTAGTGGAGAACGGTTTATGTCAGGAATTGACATGCCTAAATGATTTAATAGCTGCTTTAGAGGAAGGTGGAAGAAGAGAGGAAGTTGCATTTATATCAAAGAGATTACCAAGACTGGAGAACTTAGATGTATCTAAGGGAAATCATAGCTCTAAGAAGTTCATGCCTATTAAAGTGTGAGTCGTGTTCTTTATTGTTTCAATATTTTGTTTTCACCTTTTCCGTATTGACTATTGAAAGTTCAAATCATAAGCTTCTATAGGGTGAAGATGATTTTATCTTATAGAGTAGAATGTATTAGTTTGATGTATAAATTAAAGTGATTGAGTATATGCGATAGATTGGGAAGCCAGAATAGCAGGCAAAGAGGTTAGGGACTAGTGATTCAATTGGGATTATTCTTTGAATCTAATTCTTGAGCACCAATTCCTGTATTAGAGGCATTCATTTCTAATTCAAATGGGGTTGAGAAATTAGGAAGAATGAGAACATGATCTTGTGTGGTAACAATTTTTAGATTGTCAAAAGCAGCTTGAGTTGTAGTAGATCAAAGAAAAGAATCACTTTTCAATAATTCATGAAAAGGAGAGGCTAACAAAGCATATTCTTTAATGAAACGACAATAATAATTGGTGAGACCAAGAAAACCAAGAAGCTTCTTAAGAGTAGTTGGAGTTGACCACTTGAGAATCAATTCAATATTCTTAGGATCCATATATACGCTAGAAGAGGAAACCATATGATCCAAATAAGCAATCTATTGTGTACCAAAAGCACATTTTGACAACTTAGCATGAAGTTTATGCTCCTACATAATAGATAATACCTTTTCTAGGTTTAAATGATCAGACCAAGAAGCAATGTAAATTAATATATCATCGCAAAACACCAAAACGAACTTGCATAAGAAATTCTTAAATATTTGATTCATAAGAGCTTGAAAAGATGATGAAGCATTTGGGTCTCGATTGAATGGATTTCAATAAAGATCTAATCTTAAGTCCTAAACTAGATTTACAACTCAAAGATATACGATCAAAGAAAATGGAAACGAACTACTAAGATAAAAAGTCTGGGTTTATTTACATAGATGCCTTCAAAGTGGGCATACCTTTTAACAGGTAAAGGTCGACTTATTTTTTGTCACCTTGTAGATTTCTTACTCAGCTACTGCGAGTACAAGATCAGTGTTCTTATTACGGCTGCTTGTGACACATTCAGATGAGGGGCTGCTCGATGACGGACCCATGCTCCGAGAATTCATGTTTACATTGGTTTTTTTCCTAAAGGATTAGTGTAGTTGTTTTACCTCCTTGTTCTTACATTCTTGCGGTTGAGGCAAAAGAACCAATTCAATAAGTTTCAAGCAAATTTATTACTAATATAAAGATTTTAAATATATTACTATTAATATTAAGGATATGCTCAGGAATTGAGGATATGCTCAAGAATTAGATTCAAAGAATAATCCCAATTGAATCACTAGTCCCTAACCTCTTTGCCTGCTATTCTGGCTTCCCAATCTATCGCATGTACTCAATCACTTTAATTTATACATCAAACTAATACATTCTACTCTATAAGATAAAATCATCTTCACCCTATAGAAGCTTATGATTTGAACTTTCAATAGTCAATACGGAAAAGGTGAAAACAGAATATTGAAACAACAAAGAACACGACTCACACTTTAATAGGCCTGAACTTCTTAGAGCTATGATTTCCCTTAGATACATCTAAGTTCTCCAGTCTTGGTAATCTCTTTGATATAAATGCAACTTCCTCTCTTCTTCCCCCTTCCTCTAAAGCAGTTATTAGATCATTTAGGCATGTCAATTCCTGACATAAACCGTTCTCCACCAATTCATAGCATAAACCAAATGTTTCTGAGACCTTGTTAGTTTTACAAAGATTCAGAACAATTGCATTACACAAATCAATATCGACATTCTGATGAATTTCTAAACTAAAAAGCAACAGTTTGCATGCTTCTAATAGCTTTCCTCTCTCATAAAGAAATTGAGCTACTTCTTCAATTTTAACACGGTATCCATTCTTATAAAGCAAATCAATAATATCAAATGCTCTTTTTTGTTGTCCACATCCAAAAAGTAGCTGTAAATTCTTAGTTGAGAGATTTATATTCTGTCTAACATTTTTCTCCAGCATCATCATAATAACCCAGGCAGACTCATGAGCGCAACCTTTTTCCAAAAGTTTTGCCAGTATAGAATGCCAAGTGAATGTTTTAGGTTGATAGGAGCTCTTAAGCATTTTCTCTAGTGTCTCCTTTGCAAGTAGAGGCTTATCCTTTAAAAGAAAACCATCAATCAAACGATCATAAATATCAACATCAGGAAGAAAGTCTCTTCTAAGCATCCACATCAAAAGCTCATATCCACTTTCATATGCACCTTCTTTACAATGCCCCATAATCAATGTATTGTACGACTGGGGATCTTGTGTGCCCCTTTTCATTAACTGTCTAATCACCCTCTCGGCCTTCTTAGTCTTCCCATGTTCACACAAATGCTTGAAATAAGGGACTATAAGCGGCAGCAAGTGGCCTGGAGCCAAAATTACTTAAAAGGATTTCCTTCTCAAACAACACCTCTCGCCATATCATAGTCCCCTTTCTGACACAAACTACGTATCAGAGTACTATACGAAGCTGAATCCATGGGGACCTGAAATTTTTTCATGCTTTCAAACACCTTCAATGCTTCATCCAGATTTCCTACACAACAATGCGAATGAATAATCGTATTAAAGGTAAATGTATCAGGGCTAAAATCCCCATTGCCTTTCATCCGTTCCAAAAGATCTTTCATCTTGTCCAACTTGTGTGCCTCACAAAGCCCTTTTATCAAAGTATTATAGGTAACCATGTTCGGCTCAATGCCCTGGCTACTCATCTCTTCAAGAACAATCAATGCCTCATCTACTTTTAGCTTCATACAATATCCTCGAATCAATGTAGTATAAGTAACAACATCAGGATGCAAACCCTCACATTTCTTGCTCATACCATTCACTAAATTCCGAGCAATTCTGATCTTCTCCGCTCTACACAAACCATCAACAAGTGTGTTATACGTGACAACATCCGGATCACAATTAAACCCGGCCATCTCATTAAAAAACCGAAACCCTTCATCAAACATTGAGTTTTTGCAAAACCCTCTGATCAAAACATTGTATGTACAAGTGTGCGGAGTAACACCATACGTGCGAAGCATTTCATCATACACCTCTTTGGCCATATTGGTGCGACCCCTTCGAGCAAAATAGACAAAACAGTGTTGAAGGTAACCACGGAGGGGACACATCAATGGACTTCATGGTCTGAAAAAGCTTCATGGACTCTTTAAAGAGCCACTGCTTCGGCGTAGCTTCGATGAGGGTATTGAAGAACCTATCCTCAAGCTTAACGGTTCAGTTGGACTTTTTCTCGATGGAAAATAACAAGTTTCGGGCAACGTTGAGGTTCCTCTCGCGACCCGAGAATTTGTAGCATGATGAAGTAGGACTCGAGCTGTGTGGGGAAAACCCTTTTGTTGGGCCCACTTGAAGAAACGAAGGGCCTTGGAAGGGTCCTTGATGAGGCGAAGTGTTACGAGCACGAGTCGTTTTGGAAAGTGGGGTGGGCGGAGGAGAGACCAACGCGTTCGACCATGGTTTGGAATTGATAAGATTGGCCAAGGTTTTGGCGGTTTTACTTGTGTTTCGTGATTTGAGTCTTGCAGTTTGGGTTTCGGGTGATCGGAACAAAAGTACCTGAATCTTAAGAATCGATGCTGAGGGAAAAAAAAGGGGGGGGGGCATAAGAAAATAAAAAAGAGTTCCAAGAAATGCACCTAAGGTGGGAATTGAAGGTGGAGATGGAAATAGAACTGAGATTTGAAGATAGTTGTTGTTGTGACGAGAGACTACGAGAAACCATGTTGAAGCTGTGAATTCAATAGTCCAGCCCTCATCTACTTTTTATTCAAAATACATATATTTTTCTTAGAAAACTTTTATCATACATGTGATGAAAATTTAGAGGATAATTTATTTTCTTGTATATTTCTTTTAAGGATGGTGATATTTTGACAATTAGAAATCATACAATCTTTTAAATAATTCACTTTTATTAATATAATAATCTATAGAATGATTTAATAAAAATAAAAATAAAATAAAACTATTATTATAATATTAAAAGAGAGTTATTTATAAGAGTTATATGAATTTGGAAGGTGAAAGTATCATTTTCCTAACTCATTAGACATTAGACTATTTTACTTTGAATACATAAAAGATACGTAACAACGAATCTATTAATATAATTTAGAAAATCACACCGTTTGACAAAGTATAATACTTTTTAAAATTACCAGACTAAGAATAAAAAAATTAACGACATGGATGAAAGTAATGACCTCTAGAATTCAAAATTCGGGGAGATTTTTAAGATTTCGTGTCATGTCATTCCAATATATAATTAAATCGTGTACCATTGTGTCAATGTGAAACAACGTTTTACACGCGTCATCGAACAGCACGCAAATAACTTGGTTTTATTTTTTGTCGCCAAACGCTCGCAAGAATAATTAAATAAAAAGTTAGTGGCTTCTACGCACGTCTTACAATAAAATAACTTCACCTAACGGAATATGCTAATATATGCAAAAAGAAAAAATATACGCAACAATACATGGAGGGGACCACAAATCACTTTCTGTAGTGGCCAAGTTGATAACACTCCACATTTCTTCCATTCCAATAATGGCTCAACCTCTCTTTAAGCCAGCCACATGATTCTCAACAACAAAACCATCACCATGGATTGGATTGGTTTTTCACTCCAATTTCAACCCTTTTGGACATGGTTACATAAACCATGTCTGTTAAATCAACCAAAATAAGGAAGCAATTTGAACTTGGGTTAAGTTCTTGTATACCTCCTAAATCCCCTTGGCGTTGGAACCACATCACGGCCAGTTTTTAACAAGGCTTGGCGATCCTTAATTGTTTTATCAAACAATCTGTTGTCTGGATTCTCAGCATAGCATACATAGTAACAGCTCACACAAGCATGTGGCACTGCCATGGCAATCCTAGTCTGCAGAGTCAAAAAGTTAAATGTTAGTTAACACCACTTGCTCCCATGCTAATCATTCATTTGTGAGCTACCACTAGTACTACTACTACTACTACTAATAATAATAATAATAAAGTGGCACCAACATGTTGTTGGTCTGAGTATAGTACTGAACTTGGACCTCTTAAAACAAGGTATAGGGTTTGAACCTAGTGTCAAGTGGTTGGACAGAGATTAGTTATTGATAAAACTGTGGATACTTCGTACCGATAACATCAATAATAATAATAATAAAGTGGTATATGAGATAAGGGGTACCCACCAAAAGGTATCCAATGAGGAATGTAAGGAGGGATAGGGTGGCTGTGAAAGTTTGGTGTACTTTATGGGTCCAAGCAGCCACAACAATGACACAAATAGAGCCACTGCACACTCCTGTGAGGAAGCAAATTGAACTGGTTATATCTGCATCTACAATTGACACCATGTCTTCCTTCTCAAAGAGGGCCCAGGTGTCTTGGGATGCCTTTACAAACCCTTTTCCATATGCTGCTATCTGTTAAGATGGATTAGAAATAAGTTAAAGGACTTGATTAAATAAATGCTCTTAAACTATGTATTAATCGTGCAGAATGTACAGTCAAATAAAGTTGGAGGAAGGACCACTTTGACACGCAGAGAGAGAGAGTCAGATGGTGATTGCTCAGTAATAACTTCAGAGGCCACAATAAAATTTTAAACTTGGTAGGGACCATGTGATAAAAGAATCCAAGGAGTATCAGGCAAACGCACAAAATGATCAAGCTTACAGGTAAATCTTAGTTTAAAATAACTAACCAATAAAAAAATTGTAAAAGCCTATTCGTTAGGGTATGTTTGGATAGACTTCTCCTCATACATAAGGAATAAAAATTTAGAAAAGGTACATGAGAGTACTTCAACAAGTTAGCTTATCCATAAGCTAATTCTAACTATAGAAAAAGCTCTTTTCATTTTTCTCTTCTAAGAACTCAATTTTAACAAACTAAAGACTAACAAATCGCAATCATATAATAGATAACATTGCCTGAATTTCATAAAATGCAGATGACTAGTTTATTTGTCAAGTTACCTGTACATAGGCCCAGCTATTGCCATTTCTGAAAATGGATTCCATGACTCTTAAACAACAATGAGCACAACAAAACATGAATTCATCTTCTCCTTCAAGCAAATTCAGTCCCCGGGCAACAATTCGCAGGGCTTCAATTGTAGGCACAAAGAGAGACCCCAAACAAGCACTACCCAGATTCCGGGTGAGGGCTCTCAGAAAACAAAATTGGGTGTTAGACTGCATTCCTCTGAGGTAATACAAGGAAATAGCCCTACTAACAGTGATGTTAACCACATTCCTCATGACCTCAATAATCCAAATCAAACTCAGCACCAATGCAATGATGGTTAGAGGAGGAAAATAGAAGTTCAATGCTCCAATCACTGCTAAAACCCATAGAGATATCCACAAGAATCCAGCCCCAAGCACATGATACGTGGATTTGTTAAGATCAGGGAATTTGGACACAGGTTGAAGCGACAAACTCAAGACTTTACAGCAAAACTTAATTCTATGACTAACCCAACAAGCATATAAGCCATTGCCAATTGCAAAAGCAATCAAGCACACTCCAACACCATCAGTGGCAGGCTTTTGGAAGCAAATGAGGAGAACCCCAGCAGCCAGAGACATCACAAATGTAAACCAAAGTATGAAATGAAGCATCAAAGTGGGCCATTTCCGTATCGCCCCTTGCCAGATAAATGCAAGGATTATGCTCATAAAAGATGAAGCCTCCACTTGGGGAAGGAAATACTTTAACACGGCTTTCTCTTTCCTCTTGGTAGATTCCGAATCTTGGATAAGCCCTTGAACTCCCTTGAACACGAGAAAACACACCAGAGCCACAGCTAAAAACAAGTGGATGACAAAGATAAACAAGGATATTCTGTTGGTATATTTTCTCGAATTCAGAGTCACTGCTTGGGGGTTCTGTCAAAAAGGGAAATAGAATAATAACCCATCAAGATTGTAACATTCAAAAATTCACAAAAATAACAAGAAACAAAAGACTTACAAAATTACTGCAAAATCAAGGAACCCCTTATAATCTTTAGCAAAAAGAAATGCAAATTTCCTTCAAAAATTTGAGTTGAACAAGGCATTCCATTCCTGTACAAAGAGAAAGAAAAAGAAAAGTACTTGTTGCGGGGCTGGGGTGGAGCGCGTGTTAGTGTGAGGACGTTGAGATTGAGCAGGAGAAGGAGTTGCAACTCTGGTGGAACTATTGATCACAATTCTCAAAGGGTTAGTGGGGTTCAACCTGTGGAAACTTGAGAGATGAGATTCTTCATGATCATGACTTTTATGATCACCAACATCATTATTGTTCTGAGCCTTTCTCTCTTCTTCAACACCCACTTCCCCTTTCTCCAAGTCTTCCTTCGTCTTTGCTCCAGCCATAGTTTCATTCTCTTTCTCAACCACCACCTACCACGCCAAAGAGAAAAGAAAAGAAAGATTAAAACTTGCCAAAAATAGCAACCCCTTTAATCCACAAAGCTGGAAACATTATAGTACAGGCTCCGTGGCACCCATTTGCGGCGGCGACAGTGGCGGTGTTGCGGTGTCTCAGCTGAGTTCAGAAACCGAATGTTGGTAGAGAGATGCCGTTACAAGCTTCAACTTTTACTTTGATTTGGAGTTTTATTTTACAATGTGCACCCTGCTTTCCTCAGAAAGTATCTTTTATGTTGGACCCACCAGTCGCCAACCGCAAACATGCCACAACAGCGCGTGGAGGCTCTTCGCGTCTCACGTGAAAAACACACCACGTGGAAATGGGATCCTAAAGCTCCAATATTTTAGACAGAAGTATGCTTTTTCGGATATTTTTTTTTTTCAATATTAATTTTGTATACATATTTTGTAGAACGTGACTGGGTTCTTGATTAGTAAATGTTTCAATTTTAAAAATTAAAAAATTGATTTTTTATTAATTTTTAATGATAAAATTAGGTAAAAAAAAACATTTTTTTATGAATTTAATCATAACCACCAAAACCACTTCAAGATAGCAACTTTGGTCTTGTCGGTTCTGTAGCAGCCCATTTGAGAGCTTCTTCATCTTCAGGAGAATACCTCCACACTCTAGCCCTTCTCTTCTTACAAATTTCTCTTAAAAATAAAAAAAAGTTTTTTATTTCACTTTTATGAAGAGAGACATTTAAATCAGGAGTGAGAAAATGTGTTACAAAGGGACTTAAACAATGATGTGGACATCTCTTTACAATAGGATTAACTTGTTCAATTAATGTGTCTCAATTTTTCTTTTAAGGACCACTGAAATAATAATATTAATATCTCACCAATATCTTTAAAAAAAAAAAAGTACCATACTTCACTCATTTTTGTCTTATATTAAATACCAATATCTAATTTTGACTTTTAAAAAGTTATAAATTGTATCTCACTTTTAATTTTACATATATTTTATTTACTTTTTAGTTGAATTGAACTTTAATTTTTAACATAATTATTTGGCGATCATAAACAAATATTTAAAAATATATTAAGATTGAATATTTTTTTAAAATAATAGACCAAATATCTCTACTTTAAAATGTGATAAAAATGGTAAATTGAATAAAACTAGTTAGTAGCATATACAATGCAGGAGATTTTGGAAATTTTATCCTAATAGTATTTTTTAAAATAAAAAATATTTATAATTTAATTTTTCATCACCTAATTATTTAAAAATTGAAATAGTAATTTATATTTCTGGTCTCTAACTATATTAGTCTTCTTTTATTTATTATATTAATTTTTAATGTAAGTAATTTGTATTATTCTGCTTCTTCTCTAACTTTTCAATTATGAAATATTTAAGATAACACAATTATATAACATGTTTATTTTTAGTTACATTCCCGTATAAAACATTCAACATCAAAAAATGCACACACCAAACATAACATAACTTAAACAAACATTTTATTCAAAATGCAAAAACAATATTATTGACTAAGTCACTTTAGGTCCTCTGTTATATAAATTGAAAAAAATTCTTACCTTTTTTACTTTTCTCTTAAATTTTAAGTTTTCAAAGTCAAAATTTTATAAGAAACTCAGTATTATTTGCCAAAAACTCTAATAAACATATTATTATAATCCTAAACCTGTCAAAATTTAACATTATCCACAATAGCACACGTGCAAAACCTATAGTACTCTAAAAAGTTGGTAAATATAAATTTCCTCTATTTCTATTTTGTGACCAAACAAGATTAATCTATTCCACCTCAAGAACATTAAAATGTATTTGAATCTTAAAAAATGAAAAGAGAGAAATATTAATAAAAAGGAAAATAACACAAGTTTACAAAAATGCATAAAAACTTTGTATAAATAAAACTTGAATAGTTTTTACGTCAATTATATTTTTATATTATATCTGTTGTATACTTATGTAAATGTCACTGATGTAAAAAAGTAAATGAATTTTTATATTACATTGAGTAAAAGAAATGCAATGTAATATTATACTGATTCTTTAAATGATTGATGTAATATGTGATTGTTTTATTTATGAACATACCAGTACATGTAATATAAATTATTTATTATAATACTTATGTTATAGTTTATGTAATATAAGTAGTGTAAGTTCATTATTTTTATATTAGTTAATTAATTTGTTATTAATAATAATTTTACCTTAATTAATAAAATATCAAAGTTATTTTATTAGTTATCATTACTCTTACCATTAATTAAAACTCCAACTAGATAATTAAAAAATAAAATAAAAAATTGAGATTATAAGAAACCGAACAAAAAGCTACTCTACGAAATATACCAAATTTATTTCCAAATTGAAATATATCGAAGTGGACGAAACTAACGAATTAGATTTGCGATGTTGATCGTAGGTTCTTTGTTTATTTCGCCATCATGTGCTATTGTCTGTCTATGACTTCTGAGTCACCCAAAAACACACTGACCAAACTCATCACTTCCACGCAACCTGAAGACAACCCCTTTACGTTAACTCTTCTTTGTTTTCTTCTACACCTCTCAATATTCTCCTCCACACACCCCCAAATTGTTTAGTTCTTCTTTCTATTGAAAATAAAAATAATAATAATAATAATTTTTTTTAGCAGAAATAGAAAAATCTAACTAAAAGTGTAAGTTGAGAAATTTAATATATATATATATATATATATATATATTAATATTAGCCATGTCTTATTAATATTATTCTTTCTTAATAAATTTTCATGAAAAAATCCATAATATAAATACAAAATTAACATCTATATATTACATGACATCAAAATTTCATCCACAAATATTTTCAATTTATAGAATAAAAATGTTCAAACTACATTTTTATTTTATTTTTTTGATGATGCCAAATTATAATTAACCCATTTTTTTTATTTATTTAAACCAAAATTAGCGTCAAAGTTTCTTATTGAAATGGGCACGTGGCGGATGGGAGGTTTTTTAAGTAGGCAGAAGGTTCTGGACTGCACACGTTGCATATGCAGATTAACTAACCAATCACTTAAATAATCTTTTTTTTATTATTTTCTTTCTAATTTTTTAAAATTATTTATATAAAATAATTCTCTTAAATTTTAAAAAATCATAATTAAAAGTTTATATTGAAATAATATTTTTATCTATCAAAAATATTTGTAAGAAATACCTTCTGTAAATGTTCAATCATTGATTATTTGTTGTGGCTCAACCTTTTACTCAATATTATTGAATCCATGTTTCTCTAAATAAATAATCTTACTTAGAATATAATTAAATTTATATATAGTTAGACTTAAATAGTTTTTATGTTATTATTTAATAATAATTAGTTTTTATCTATAGTCATTATATTTAGACTTAATTAATTATGTTATTAGTGTCTACAAATTATAACAATTTTAGTTTTGATCTTCTAAATTTTCAAAATTTTATTTTAATCTTACAAAAATTCAAATATATATAATTTTAGTAACTAAAGTTTTCAGGACTAAAGCATTTTTTAAATTATTTTTAATCTCTTAAATTTAATGATTAAAAATAAAATCATAATTTACTAATTTTGAGAGATTAAAATATTTTTAAATTTAATAAATTAAAAATAAATTTGTTTCAATTTTTTAAATATCAAAAAAATAATTAAATCTTGTATTCATATTAAATCTTAATAATTGATATGTTTATATTCTCATAACTATATATTAAATTGATTATATATATTATAATAAAAATTTATTTGAGATGGAATATTTTTATAAAGTATTATATATATATATATATATTTATGCATATAGTCATAAAAATTGATTAACTATATATGGTATATTTTATAAAAATAACAAAGTGATGGAATTATTTATATTTTAATATTTTTTTTAAATAGAACAATAATTATGATTTACATAAATAAGGTATTAAATAAATTTTCACATATTTTAATTAAAATTGACGGAATAATGTAATAGTTAAATAATGTGATCTGATAAAAAAAACAAAACATATCAATTTCATGTTATAAAAAGGAAAGAGAATCTTTCAAGCAACTCAAAACATATCTAGGATCTACAGCTACAAACATATACCTGTCTACAACTCTTGCTCTAAACTCTGAAAACCTGAAGATTCTCATGCTCCTTCTTTCATTAAATTAAAGGTAAAGTTTGTGTAAACAAGTAATGGTTTAATGATACTGATTGTTTTTAAGCTCAAAGATTTTTGTTTTTGTTTTTAATTGTTTGTGTTCTAAGATCAAATTGCTATATTTTCTGTTCTGTTCTGATTAGTGGCTTGAAATTCACTTCACACTTTTCTTGTAAAAGCAGTCCATGAAGCATTACATGCTTTGTTTGCTAGGTAAAAAAAAAAAAAAATCAACTTGGCGATTTTAGAATTACGAAAATTTTTAATTTGACTCTTCTTGTCTACGATCACAGAGGAAATTGAGTGAAGTTTGCACTGATCCATTTTCATTTTTTGCTGGTTCGAGCAGAACACAGTTTCTGGGTATGGAAACTCTTTCTTATGGATCAGCACCATGCTGTCCAGTTGTGAACTCAAAGTGGAAATTGGTAAAGAGTTTGAATTTACGTCAATCAATAGTTTCCTCGGTAGGAAAACATGGGGTTTATTACACCAACACTATTGCTACATGTGGGTCTGTGAGGTTTTATGACATGGGTCGGGTGCAGCTAAGAGGATTTAAAAGGCTCAATTTCAAAGTTTGCAGTGGAAGTTATGATGGTTATGTGATTGAAAAGGAAGCAAGGGATATTTCAGGGATAGAGGAGCTTGCACCAAAGGTTCTGATTCAAGGTCTACCCGATGGTTCAAATGGTGAATCCGGTGCACCAATAAGTAGTTGCTTTTGGGGATGGAAGCCTAAACTCAACGTGCACTATGAGAAGGCAGGGTGTGCAAACGTGGATTCTCCTCATGTTCTCTTTCTACCAGGTTTTGGTGTTGGCTCTTTCCATTATGAGAAGCAACTTATGGATTTGGGGCGTGACTACAGAGTGTGGGCTCTGGATTTTCTAGGCCAAGGTATGTCTTTGCCTTTTGAAGACCCTGCCCCTCTGTCTAAGAAAGGAGCTGCATCAAATGGAAGTATTTCTTCATGGGGTTTTGGCGATGAAACTGAACCGTGGGCTGCTAAGCTTGTGTACTCAGTTGATTTGTGGCAAGATCAAGTCCGTTGCTTTGTAGAAGAGGTAAGGGACATGCTCTGTTTGTTGACAGCATCTGATTTTTAGCTGTGAGTCCAGTTTGTTTTGCTCATAGCTTCAAATTACCTTATAAAACTGTTCTAGGTGAATTTGCATCCGGGTTTTCATTTTTCACTCGGTAGTTTTAGATTCTTGTTGTAAGATGCATCTTCACCAATCTACATCTAACAATTTAAGCTTTTGGACTAGTTGGTTTGTCACATGGTACCGAAGCCTTTATGACCAAGTTATCTTAAATCTTGACTTTGATACTTCTAATACTTTGTTAAGCTGTATTATCTGTTTCTTGAGATTTATGGAAAAGGATAACTTGTGGAATGTATTCATTTTTTTTTTCAGTCAGACAAATAGTTTATAGCTTTGTTTAACACCTCCAGAATACGGTGAATTTTCTAGGAGTAACTAGTTTTCTGGTTTTGTTAATATTCATAGTGGGATATGATTAGAACAATAAGTGTGATTATTTGGTTCAAATGGCTTATTTCAGTATCTTTGATGCTCACAAAAACTCAAGACACTTAATTCATGATTTTTCCATTTCTTTTAGATACAGTGTTTTGGTAGCAAGCCAAGTCAATATTTTTAGCTACTTCATTCCTGTTTCTATTTTCTCAGACTATATACTGAAAATTTTTGCAGGCAAATTTTCTTCTGGATTTCTTCTAACATTTTCTTTAGGTTTAATATTCGTTTCTTAAGTATCAGGAGAAGAATTTATTTGTGGACTGTAACAAATTAATATTTTGCTACAACAGGTCATTGGTGAACCAGTTTATCTGGTGGGAAACTCACTAGGAGGATTGGTTGCATTATACTTTGCAGCTTGCAACCCACATTTAGTGAAAGGTGTCACATTGCTTAATGCAACACCTTTTTGGGGGTTTCTGCCTAATCCAATAAAAAATCCAAGACTAGCCAAAATATTTCCGTGGGCTGGAACATTCCCCCTACCTTCAAGTATAAAGAGACTTACTGAGTTGTTGTAAGTATGGATTTGTTTTTATCTATTGCTTCATTTCTATCTTCTTTGGTAAACATGCTTTCAATGTTTTAGTTAAGAACTTATAAACAATACAAGTACAGTTCATGCATGTTAAGTACTTATTCATTCAAATGTGAGTGATATATAAGAAACTCTGCATAATGAATCTAGCGTTCTTCTTGGAAGAAGAAACTTTACAACACTATTAACAAGAGCATAATTCCATTAACCCTGAAGAAACCCTCATGCAAACAAAGCCACTGAGGTTTCTTACGCATTGACCATGAAATATGTACTCCACTGAGTAAGATTATTCGAGATGTTTTTTTTTTTTCTCCATGATGTGCAAGATGAGTTGGTGTCTGAGACATCAATCCATTATGTTGATAATTGGTGAGAGTGCAAATCGTATATTTTCCATTAACCTGATATTTTATTATCATTTATCCTTTAGGTGGGAGAAAATTTCTGATCCTAAAAGTATTGCTGAGGTACTTAGTCAGGTTTATGCAGATCACTCAACAAACGTAGATAACGTTTTTTCCCGCATAGTTGAAACAACAAGGCATCCAGCTGCTGCAGCTTCATTTGCTTCAATAATGTTTGCTCCTCAAGGAGAACTATCCTTCAGTGAAACATTATCCAGGTAGAAATTACAATGTCTCTGTAGCGAAACATTATCCTTCAGTGAAACTGGTATTAGATATGCAAGTTAAGGATTTTCATGATTTCTGCATTTTAGATGTCGAGGAAACAATGTGCCAATCTGCCTCATGTATGGAAAAGAAGATCCTTGGGTGGGACCAATTTGGGGACTCCAGGTCAAAAGGCAGGTACCTGAAGCTCCATACTATCAAATCAGTCCTGCTGGTCACTGCCCTCACGATGAAGTTCCTGAGGTACGAAAAATTCCCACATATCAGATTGAAAACTGTCTCTGTCCTCCTTTTAATTGCAATCTGAAACCATGTAGATATGTTGTTTAATGAATAGAAGGAATGTGTTTGGTTTATCAGTTCTTTCTTAAAAGTTATTTCTTCATGTGCTTTCCTTTCACTATTGAGAAATGTTAGCAACACATTATCTATTATTGATTGAAAATAATTGACAATCACCAATTTTAATGGGTTCCACTTCTCTAATTTCTTCCCATCACACTGTTTATTCTACATCACATTATTTGTAACATCTATATTTTTTCTGTCTTCTTTCTACTCATTCACCTCAAATGGTGTACGTTTATCATTACCCTTTTGTCTTAGATTGTTAAAAACACTTTTTCTATAACTGGGTTTCATTAGAAAGGTGAATAAGCATTACTTGTTGAGTCACTAAAATTTTGTATGGCTTTTTAGTTGACATTGTCTATCAGGAATCTTAAGAAAAGAATGTTATTAAGTCCTTCGATTTGATTGTAAGCTTCAATGGAAAATTTACAGTCATTAATTTGTATTCCTTATGTAGTATGATTATCATGATCATAATCTCAAAAATTAATTCAAGAAGTTTCTATGCAGATCATAAATTTCTTACTTCGCGGGTGGATCAGAAACTTAGAGTCTGAGGGTTCTGTGTCATTACCATTGCTTGAAGATGTAGACAGTTTGAAGCACACTGTCATTGATAGGGAATTAGAATTTCCCAGAGAAGGTTCAAGAAGGTCAGTGATGGTCAGATTTTTGGCTTCCAATGTTTCACTTTGGGACAGGATAAGATCTTTCATCAAATTTCAATCCAAGTTCAATAACATTCTGGCACCCAAATCTCAATGACATGGTGAACCATATGCTTCAAATATAAATCACACTTTGTATACTGTCTTCTCCTCCATAGTTATACAAATAGAAAACAAACAATTGTTTTAGAATTATTAGTGAATATTGTATATAAATATTATTACTTACCAGCAATTATTCCAAGGAGATATTTTATGTTATCCCATACGAACTTGAATTTTTTTTATTTTTTTTAAATGAGTAAGATTTAAAAGAGAAAATTTTGTTAAAAGAATCATCAATAAAATTAATTTATGTACAAGTTAAATTAAAAAAAATTATTTTATAAATTAGTTTATGTATAAGTGTTAAGAAACTGTGTTTAAGTTAATCTTAAAATTTCATCAATTTACAACTTCACACACATTTCTGCATTCTTTAAATATAAAGAGTTACACACAATTTCTTAATCTCTGATAGGTCTAATTTGATTTTTTTTTGTTTTTTTAGAGTTTAGAAATGTCATTATAGATAATTGAATATGGTAAAATGGTGAATAAAATTTTGTGGAAAAATCTTCCCAATGAAATGACTTTGCCACATTAACACAGTTTTTGAGAAAATTGTTTTTAGCTGTCTTCAATCAACAATGTACAGTCAGCAACATTAATTATTTATTAGAAACTCAAAATATTATTTTTTTTACTCATTTTAGTTCGTTGAGTGAAATATCATTTTGTTAGGGAATAAAATAATGTTTCATGCAGATTTAATATAATTATTTCAAAAAATAGTTCTAAGTTTAAATTTGAGGACAACTTTTAATAATATTATTAAGTAAAGAAAAATAGGGTATTTTTTTTACATGAATCAAGAAAGATTATAATGATAGTAATTTTTACTTTATTTGATTCAAATACAAGCAAAGTTAACCCATTACGCTAATTAAAAAAATTTAGTTAGTATATAACTTGGTTCAATTAAGCAAATTTCTAAATTTAAATTTCTTTTTAAAAATAAATATATTTTTTAGGTCTTTATTAGATGTATACCAAACGCTGTATTAATATTTTATTCACATAAATTTTCCATTTATCATTATTAATAAGGAGAACTTAAAAAATATGTTTAAATATTGGAAGAGTCTAAAAATTATTTAAATTTTAGAGCAACGAAAATAATATAAATAATTTTGGAAGATGAACATAATATTTTAAGAATTTTACCAATACTTAAAATACGTATTTTATGCTATAGAATTATTAAAAAAATCTCAATTCATTAAAAGGTATTTTTATAATGATAAAAATCAAATATGGTTAAAAGAAAACAAGTTAAAAAGTCTAGCATAAAGTTCCAAAGTTAAATAGAAACTAAAAAAGTGGTTTGTGTCTAAAAGTTGATAGTTAAATGTTGTTAAGCTATTTTATTAAAATTATAATTATTTAGTAAGATTATAGGTCAAAATAGTAATTTTAAAATTTAAAATTTACAAACTTCAACATCAATAATAAAATAGAATAACTTCTTCAAGAATGCATTTGAACTTTTATTTTTAAACCACACAAATAAAAGTAATTTTTATCAGTCACAGAACATGTATTCTCAACACAATTATTCAAAGAATAACCATACAAATCATGATTTTTTATCAATATGCTCTTAAGAAAACTTGATTTTTGTGAGTTTCTGGAATGATTCTTGAAAGAAAAGAAGAAACTTGATAGAAAGGAAAAGGAAGCTACTTTTTTTTACCCAAAAGCATAAATTTAAAATAGAGAAAACATAACACTCCAAACTTCAATTTAGTTTATTTAGGTTAGCTGCAGTGGCCATGGACGCCGCCACACCGCCAGGTTCAGCCGCCACTTCTATGGCCTCCCTCTCGAGGGCATACACAGCCTCAGCATCTTCTCTGGTCACTGCCCTGTCCGCTGGGAGTTTCTCCGTCGCATCCTACTCGTTCAGATCATTGTAATAAACAAATTTATTATGAAGTTTTTTTAAATAAATAATTAAAAAACTACACTTATATTTTATAAGGGTATATAATAAATCATCAACCTCTATCTAATCCTTTGATTTTAATTTTTAAATAAAAACTTATTTTCTCTGTATTTTGTATAATTCTCTAATTTTAAAATAAAGATTTGTCATTGTAATTTACATTATTTTCTATTTTTTATATAAAATTTAATTATAAATTATCTATAATTAAATAATTTGTTTAAATTTAAAATTAACAAAAACTTAGAAAAATACTGTAGTTACCTAAAAATATGTAAAATAATAATCATAGAGTTTTGAAATAGATATTTATCTTTTTTTTTATTATATACTCGTTAAAAAATTACCCTTCTAATACTTAATATAACTAAGTTCTAATTTATTTAAAAATATTAAGAGGACACATTTTAATTAATATAATATAAAAGAAAATAAGTATCAAAAATTAAAATTTTAATATATAAATTTTATATATAAAATCAAAATAAAAAATTATAAATAAATATTATTTATTAAAAACAAAAATTCAATATTATTTTACTAAAAAATATCATTTTATTTATAAAATATATAAATGTTGTTATTACAAAGAAAAAAAAATCAATGGCTATTAAATTTAAAAATAATATATAAATAATTTGATGACTAAACCTAATATAAGGGAAGGAATTAACGATTTGAACTTATTAAATTAAAAAAATTATATATTAATATATCTAAATAAAATTAATTAACTAAAAAAATATTTTAATAAAAATAAAAAACTAAAAATAAAATTTTATTAATAAATTAATTTTTATTTAATTATAATAATTTAATTTAAAGTATAAGATAATATATTAAATCAAATTATAAACTTATTCTTTATTATTAATATTATTTATTATTAAAAAATATATTATTTTAAAATACTAATTAATTAGATATTAAAATAAATTATAATTGATATTTATTATAATACTTATTCCTTTTTTTATTAATAATTTATTAATAATTTATTAATAATTTATCTTTTTTTATTATTTATTTTAAAAAAATTTATTTATAATTTATTATAATATTTATGTTTTAAAAAATATTTTTTATTAATTAATTTATAATATATTATTTTATTTTAAAAAATTATTATTATTTTATAAATGTATTTTGATATAATGGTGCTGAGATCCTAGATATAATCTCATAACCAATAAAAAAATATTTTTAAAATAATTAATAATATAAAAATTAAGATTGTTTACTAGAATAAAAAATTGTATAATTTTAAAATAAGAAAATAATTAACGTGTCTTAGTCTGAGATCACTAAATGTAACCTTATTAAAAAATATTTTTAAAATAATTACTAATATAAAATTTAAGATGGTTTACTAAAATAAAAAATTATCTAGTTTTAAAATAAGAAATAATGAACGTTTATTTTATTAAATATTTTTAAGGAAAATAAAATAAAATTTAAAAAATAATATATTCATAAAATCTATAAAATTATCAATCATCTAAGACAGAGTAAATTAAAAAAAAAACTAAAAAAAATTATCAATGATGACTGAATTGGACATTGAGAAGTGTTAAAATAATTTTTACATTTATTTTTTTCCGATACAAATAATTTAATTTAAAAAAAAAAAAATCAAGAAGTGCAACAAAGTGCGTGAGTAGTGTACTTACAGTTAAGATATCGGAGAGTTTCGTCATGTCCTGGACTCGCATCTGCTGACTGTTGAAAGTCGCAGCCTCTTGCGCCATTTCACCCAAGCAGCCGGACCTCACGCTCTTCTCTCCAGAAGCCCTAATTTCTGCGATTCTGATCTCAGCCGCGTCATTTTGGTCCACCGCCTTGTCTCCAGCGGATATGGCCACCGCTTCCAGAGCTTCACCGATGGTTATAGGATCACCGTCTATGGCGGCCGATCCGATGTCAGTGGGAACCACCGGCACTTGATGCTGCACGCACTTTTCTTGGACATTGCTGTGGTTCACGGTGGAGACACCGGTTACGTCGCTGTATTTGGGGATTTCATGGTCTACCTGTGGTTTCATAGGCTGATCATGGCTCATTTTTGGGTGGAGATGAGAATGTGTGGTGTTATTGCAATTTTTTCTCTATATAAATGGGTGACTATTGGTATATTTTGAGAGGTGTGCATGTCCAACACGTGTTGGTTCTGGCTTTCCTTGTAACCATATACGCGGGCTTTGGCGGTTCGTGTTTAAAACGGTGGATATATTGAATATAAGTTTTCTAGGCAACTTAGTCCTTAGGTTACTTTTCTAAAAACAAATTTATTGATATTCATTATTATCTAAGTTAAATGGTATGAAAAATAAAATGAGCTAAATTTTTTATATATTATTTAATAATATCATAAATGAACCTTCTGAGTAACGTACATTTCAGGAACACAAATCATATTTTTACTCTTTAGTATATTTTAATTCTTTAAATTTCAAAAATCTTCTTCTTATGTTTTTAGGAAAAATAAGTCTGGTTGCGTTGAATAGAAATTGAATGAGATGGTTAGAATAATCCTCTCAGTTACAGTTAAAACATTTTCGCATGTTTTGTTTTGAGTGAATTTTTTTCTCTGAAAAAATATAATATTGTAAAATATTTACTAAGAATTGTTCCTGTACATTATATATTTTTTTTAAGAAGTTATACTGTAAAAATATTGTAAAATATAATATTGTAAAATACATGTATAAAAGGAAAATTATTTTTGGTTGGAAGTTAAAGTTAAATATTAGGTATTTCATTTAATAATATATAAAGAGACACTACTTATAAGTTTAACTTCAAATTATATTTTATTATATGATTCACTTGTCATAAATATTTCTTTATCGTTGAATTTTTTGAAAATTTAGCATGCTATAAATAGAAATACTTAATTTTTTCATTTTATTCAAAAGAATCAATGTCTCTTTGTATTTTAAATTTTTTTAAGATATCTTATCATACGTTAGCTTTCTTTTTAATTTAAGTTCACTTTAGGGTTCCGACTAACGATAGAACACTTGTGTCTAACTAGAAATTTAATTTTAGCAAAGTTTTTATATACCAATTTTCTTAATTGAATGCAAAGATTAAGATTTCTTACATGTGAAACCTTGAAATTTTGCATGTTGAATTTTATCATATAATGATAAATTTCTAACAGAATATATAGAATAGGATGGTTGTGATATGTTTAATTTGTTTATCATAGTCTTTTATAAACATATTTAAATTTTTATAAGTTTTGGGGTTTGAATTCTTGTCTGAGAGAAAAAAAAATTATAAAAATAACTAAAGTTAATTTTGAACTCTATAAAATAGACTAAAAGTTCATGTAATTCGGTGACAATGTTTGAATTAAAACTATAGAAATTGTGAAATTTAAATTGAGTTTATTTAAGTGAGTTGATACATATGACTTTATGATTAAAGTTGAAATTATGTTCATTTTGAGTTAAAGCATGTATTTATTTCAATTGTGTAATAGAAGTTTTCATGATTGTGCCAAATTGGTTTAAACTAACGCTTTTAAAGGGAAAACACTCATTTACAATAACTAGATGACGTAAATTTTGTTTTAAATAATGTGTGGTACAAAATGAGAGTTTTCATAATTTATTTTTCTTTTTTTACAATAAAATATCTACTCAGAAGAATAATTCTTAAAGAGAATTGTGTCGACATCATCTTTACTCAAGTGGATGTTGGTCACTCAACCAATGAAAAACTTTGAATAAGTCACTCAAGATAAAATAATATTGAGATGAAGGATGATTGGATTATTATGAAAGTATTTTTATTTGAATTTGACTTGTATAAACACTTAATCGATGAATTCAGTAATATTTTAATTCTATTATCACTGAAATCATGTAGTTAAAAATAAATCATCTTTAACTGATATAAGATTTGTAATTAATAATAATAAATAAGTTATTAAAATTTAATTCATCAATGACTAAAAGTGTACAGTTTTGTAAGTACTTGTTGTTGTTGGTATTATTATTATTAACTAAAGGAATTATAAGGTTATAGGTACAAATATTTGAATTTGAAATTTAATGTTTCATCTTCAAAATTATAAAAAATCATAAAATATCTTATGTTATTGATACATTTTATTATATGATAATATAAAGTAAAAATTATACGTGTGGATAGAGACAAGTCAATAAATTGTTTTATATATTAAATTTGGACCTTATGTTATTTTATTTATATTTATATGTTATTTATAATTATAATAATCTTATTTTTCACATTATACAAAAGACAAATTTTTAAATGTAATTTTTTTTAACATATACGTAAATAATACTATATAAAAATGAGATTTTTTTTTAACAAACAAAGTAATTATATATACATATTAATCTATATTACCTAGGTTTGATGGTATTTTTCTAGTAAAATATATAAGTAAAATTAGCAAATTTTGATTTCAATTTTAATTTTTATAAAAAACTGTTGGTTTTTATTTTTCGAAATTTTAAGTTGTATTTATATCTGTATCACCTACGAACTCGTCAATGGCTTATATGTTTAAGAAAAAAAAAAGTTATGTGTCTATTACGTCAACATCTGATACTTCAAAAATATTATTTATTTATCTTAAAATAATTTTAAAAACCAAAAAGAGATATTAAAACTAAATAAATATTTTTATAAAGATAAAAACGATCAAAATTCATTTATTTTCAGGGAATAAAGTGATATTTTAAAATTATTGAGACAAAAAAAATCGAGATCAAAATAAAAATATACTTATTTTACAATTAGAAACTTTTTTAAGTGTAAAAATTAGTATGAATTAATTTTTTATAAATAAGAAAATATTAAACAGATTAATTTTAGATATTAAAGTTTTCATCTATAAAGTGCAGTAGTTCAATTAATTAAGAATAAACAAGTAATTTGTTGTAAATCACTGATTTGGGGTTAACTTTATATAATAAAAAAAATATTTAAGCATAATTAAAAAAAAAAGATTTGGAAAGAAATAAAGAAACTCATTGATTATGTTTGTATATATATTTAATGTAAAGATTAATGAGAAATAAATGAAGTGAGAAAAGAGAAAGTGATAAGAAAAATGAAAAAAGAAGAAAGAATGGGACCCGCAGGAGGTGCAGAGGAAAATCCAAAATGGGGCAAAAAGGAAACAGTCTCTAAATGCACAGAGAACAACACGGAGCCATGCAAAGTTGCCGTTTCCATCCAGGCCAACCTCTCTGCTCAGTCGTTTGAGGTAAAACACTTCTCAGTCTCCAAACCCACCGACCTTTTCCTCTTCTCTTCTCTTCTCTTCAACCAACCAAACAGGGTATCTCATTTCAAACCTCAAACTCTGCCTCCTCTAATCCCTTCTTGAGTTGGGCATGTCCAATGGGTCGAGGGAAGATCGAGATCAAAAGAATCGACAATGCCAGCAGCAGGCAAGTCACCTTCTCCAAGCGCCGAACAGGCTTGTTCAAGAAGGCTCAGGAACTCTCCATTCTATGTGACTCTGAGGTTGCCGTCATAGTCTTTTCCAACACTGGCAAGCTCTTCGAGTTTTCCAGTTCTGGGTGCGTCTCATTTTCTTCAACACCCCTTTGCATGTCCTCTTACTTTTCACTATACCCCTTCACTCTCTCAGTTTCATTTTCTCGCTTTTACTATCTACCTCCGTGCATCTATTCAAAAGAATTTTACTTTTGTAATGAGTAAGAACTCTTAGTTATAAAAATCCTGGCTTTGAAATATTGCGGCTGATGTGATTATGATGTTGTTGCAGGGACAGGGACTTCCCTTAACACTAGTGGTATTGGTTATAAATAGATTTCAATTTTTTTTTTTTTGAAGAAAATAAAATTAGTTTGCTTTATTTCCTTGATGGTGTATATTGTATTAAGATGATTTTGATTCCATTGGGTTTAAATTTGGTTCGATTAGTAAATATTAACCATGGTTGTAAAATGCATGAAGATAATTTTGATTCCGTTGGTTTTAAATTTGGTGTGATTGGTAGATTTTAAATATGGTTGTATAATGTGTTAAGATGGTTTTGATTGTATTGGTTTTAAATTTGGTGTGATTGATAAATTTTAACTATGGTAGCCTCAATTGCAGTCGAGGACTAAAATTTAGAGTCTTTGTGATTTTTTTTTAACTTATCAAGGTAAGCTATGGTTTTGAAGTAAATTTTGTGCAGAAGTTTGAAAATTTCTTTGGGTTTGTGTGATTGAATTGATGATCGCTGCTAAAATGTCTGTTCTATGAACTTCATTGCGTATCCACTGTTCAGCACTGGTGAAATTAAAAAACTTTAGGGTCAGGGGTCACTGCCCATCTCAGATTCCGTGAAGCCCCACCAGTGGTCTGAGCTCTGTTTGACTGTTCATTGTTTTCATCTTTTTGATTTTGTTTTATAAAAAACAATAAGAAAAAAATTCAAAATTTCTTTGTGTGGTGCTGCTCAATTTTCCCACATTTTGTCAAGATAATTTAATTAAAAATACTAAAATTTATCTAATGTTTATACAAGCTTCGTGGAATTCAATTCTAGAATTATGGTTCTGTCATGAAAGTAGTATCTTTCGGTCATTTCTCTATGAAAGAATTGATCCCTGATTGAAAAGGAGTATGAACAAGAAATAAAACGAATGACTTTATGTTAAATATATATATGTTGTTGAAATGTTTATACCAAAGGCAGAGTCTACAAGATTTATAAATTTAATATGATGGCCTATGGATAAGTGAAAGACGAAAAGTAAGGCAAATGGTTTGTTTTGGTCTAACAGTTATTTGTCTGAGATTATTGTTTGTATAGTACAACTGTCTGTCATTAATGTTTCTCCTGGTGAAATATTGGATTGCAACGTCAAAAAAACATATATTGTATGTTTCTTTGATGTTGCAGCTGGATGGATCAAATCATAAGTTATGGACATTATGTTGAGAATTAAATATATAGGAAGCAATAGTAGGTCTTAGAAAGCTGATAATTTTTCCGGTCATTTTACAATTTCAAGCATGCCATGCCACATTGACCCAAGGTCCTATTTAGAAAAGAGGCAGTTAGATCCTGTTTGAAATCATGTTGTTTTCTGTTTTGGTTTATCAAAACCATGCCATGATATGATGGTTTTGTATACTTACAAATCCTTATTGCAGTATGACGCGAACACTTTCAAGATACAATAAATGCCTTGGTCCTACAGATGCTGCTTCTGTAGCAGAAATTAAGACACAGGTATGCTTGTACTCCTCTATCCTACTAACCTTCATTAAGATTTAAATATCTTACAAATATCTATAAGAAATATGCTTTTTTTATAGTCCAAACAAAACTCTTCATCAAAACCATTAAAAGGACTTGAATCTGAAATGCCTCTTTGAAAGATTGGTTTTTGACATAACACAATTTGGGTTGTTTGATTAGTGCTACATAGTGACAAGCAAATTTGATTGTTTTTGTTGAATAGAGCATTATCTTTTTTCACTATGCTTTATCATAAATCATGAATAAATTGCTTAGAGCCCAAACATTCAATTCCAAACTGGAAAATAGCAATTTATTTGCAGCAAATAAACTTCTCCACTTTCGGTTTCCTGCTTATAGATCCCCAGCAATTATATATATATATATATATAGGGGAAGAATAGGAAAGAAGAATTGTAAAATGGGTGAGAAGGAGAATATGATTAAGGGGTGAGTAGGGATAAATGTGAGGCGAGCAGAGAGAGTAAAGGCAGGCTGTTGCCAAAGGGAAGAAAAGTTTTCCATCTGTGATTTGTTTTCTTTCATTCTCAAGGTTTTTCTGAGTACTTTCTGCATATCTGCAGTAATTTTGGTTCCTATCACCTTCATATGCGGTACTACCCATATACATATAATTCTTTTATTGATTTAAGCAGCACGTCATTTCCTTATTTAGGATTCAGACAGAATTTCAGTGCCTTGCGTGTTTTCAAACTGCATTGTTAATCAAACATTATATTTCCATAAAACGCACTATAGTTCCTAAGAAAGACAATTTTTATACTTTGTTTCTTCACTACTTAAATATTTTTTTTCTGATTTGAATAATACATGAGTTGTCTTCTATTAGTGGACCTAAATCAGATATAAAATATGAATATACGAACTTCATTTGGAGTTTTATTAGCATGCCTCAAACATGTGATAAGTCTCACAGGGATTGCATTTGATTTCTCTTAGATGTGTAAACCTGAATCTATTATCAAACTGTGGCAGGCCATAGTTTGTACTTCACCTTTAGATTCAGAGATTTGTGATGTGAAGAACTTACAGGAATTGGCAGTTTTCAGTTTTAGAAAATCAATGACTTTTAGTTCTTCTACAAAGTGATTGTCGTTGATCAATATTGACATCGTGATATGGTGTTGAGGGATATAATGCACCATATACAATTACTTCTAGAGAGTATTTGTCATTTACCAATATTGACATCGCAAATCGACACAAGAATGTCAATAAATTCAGTTTTCTTTTGCATGATGGTGTTGTCTTCAATTTTCACCTTAAAGATATAAATGAAGTACAACTTTTTTTTTATGCCTTGACATTCAGTTGCTATTGTAGATAATCTATTTGGGTAGTTTGGTTGTCTTTGCTGCAAATATTTATTTTGTTTGCCTACAGATTTCTTTCATTAGGTACTTCCTTATCATCAATTCCCCTTAGATGCATTGGGAATCACTATACTAATATTTTGTTTTTCTTTAGAAGGAAGATTCTAAAATGGTGGAGATCCTACGAGATGAAATTGCAAAGATAGAAACAAAGCAATTGTATGTGTTTAATCAATCTGTTAGAAGTTTTCTTTTATATTATTGTTATTTTGCATTCTCCACTTTTTTTCTTTTGATAGCAGTACCCCTTATGAGTACTTACTTACCTTTGTCACTGTAGACAGTTATTGGGTAAGGATCTGACAGGATTGGGTATAAAGGAATTGCAAATTTTAGAGCAGCAACTTAGTGAGGGGTTATTGTCTGTCAAGGCAAGAAAGGTCACATTTTATCTTATCCCTCTTCCATTTCTCCAAGTTCTTTTGTTTTTTTCTTTTCATTGAAGGTCATTGGTAGAATATAATTAATGGTTTCTGCTCAGAGCAATGTTCAACCCTTAACATTTGATCTTTCAGGAGGAACTACTCATGGAGCAACTGGAGCACTCCAGAATTCAGGTATATCGGAATCAGAAGTTAGGTTTATAAAGTTATAATGGACCTCAAAAAAACAAGGAGAATTTGCATGGAAGTTTAAAATAATAGTTGAGAATATATGTGAAAATGGCTTATTAATAGGTTAAATGTAGTGACCATAAAGCATTTAACCAAATTATGCACTCTATCAGCCTACAGGGTATTGAATATTTGACTTTATCAATAAGAAATCATTTCTCTTACTGGAGAATTGTTAATTTCAAAGGAAATCTTGTAGTAAATGTATTATTTTTGATACTTCCGCTTTCAGTGTTTAGAAATTTGTGGATAAAATTGAAATGTGTATCAGTTTCAGGATATAGTGAACTTGGGAATATACTATTTACTTAGTCATAGTAAGGGTAAAAGAAAAATGTTCCTTTTTTGTCATAGTAACTAGTTTGGTTTATTCTTTCCAGGAACAGCGGGTTATGTTGGAAAATGAAACTTTGCGTAGACAGGCAAATATTATTCACTTTCTCTTCTTAATATGCAATGTTAATCTTCCATCATCTTATGTTAATAGATTTGTCTTTCTTCCTATATCATGTTAAAGGTTGAGGAGCTTCGTTGTCTGTTCCCACAATCAGAAAACATGGTCCCATTTCAATATCAACACACTGAAAGAAATAACTGTTTTGTAAATACTGGTGCCAGATGTCTCAACTTGAGCCATAACTGTGGAAATGAGAAAGGAAGTTCAGACACAGTATTTCATTTGGGGTACTATGTTTTTCAATTACCACTTTTAAAATAAATTGGGTAGATCTTGACAGCCTATATGTTCTGTGTGAAACTAAAAGCAGTGCATTTGTTGATTTTCATGTATAAAATACTTTCACTATGATTTGGGTTAAAAACAGTCTCAACCGACTGAAGTCACTCATGTTCACTGTCATAGTGGTTTTCACTTTCAGATTGTATTTACAAAACAAGTGTCTTGCATGGTACTGCATAGGGTGATGTTGCAATAGTCATATGTATATTTGAATTCAACAAGTTTTCTTGCATTAGTTTTTTCATTCTTGGCTAAACCTGTATCTCTTTTTTAACCTATAGCATTTTCAAACCAAGCTATTTAGTTAGCTACACACCATAAAAGTTTTGAATGCACTGAAACACTCTTCAAGTTTTGAGGGATTTTTCTCCTATTTTATTTTCATTTTCCCACTTTATTGGTCTCATTCTGTAGGTTGCCTGCTGGTATTCAAGAGGAAGGCCCCCAAGAAAGAAACCTTTTCAAATGATTCAGCAGAGTTCTGATTTTCTTATTTCAACAGGGAAAATAGAATTTCAGACTAATTTATTGCAGCTGTAGTTATGTACAATATAGATTAGGGAGAAAAGGTATGACTAAAAGTGACCCTCAAGTTATAAATTGGAATTTAGCTCTTCTAGAATATTGGCAAGTGCAGATTGACAATTTTTAGCAAATTGTGGCCTAATTAACTGTGATTGTGAAAGGTCTAATGAAGACAATGTTTAGTTTTCTTTCTAAGTCATGAGCCACCACCAACTTGGCTGCAGTTGCTTATATCATCATTGGCCAAGTTGATTTTTTTTATTTGAACTATCTTATATGTCTGGTTTATTTTACTGTTTCATACTAATATTTCTTTGTTTTCTTTCTGTAATTATGTCCAACCACCAAGTTGGTTGCTGAATGATCCAAGGGCATTCTACATTTCTGTTTTCTTCTTGGTTCATAATTAGAGAAATTTTTGGTTCTCTTATTGAGAGATAAGTGACATGAAAGGAGAATCATTGTTATAGTAGAAATTTGTTGAGAATAAAAGCCATTACTTTGTGGTAATAACTTTTCCTTAACTCCTTTCATATTCTTAGTTTCCTAAACATTTTCCAACTGTCTTTATGGTTTGTGAACGCAAACGTGTAAGAAGTTACTCAATTGTGAATAATATAAGAACAAAATAATATTATAAACTTTAGAACCATGCATTTTATTATTCTTATTATAAATGCTCCCCAGTGAGTAATAACCCACTGTGTATTAATTAATATTTACACGACTTGGTCACTACATAATTTGTAACTATTACAAGTAATTAAGAACTACTGCTATATACACAATATATGATCAGACAATTGATTTTTACTGCTGTCGCTGTAGTCGAAAGCCGTCAATTAATTTAGATCTCTGAGCCATTACATTGGCAAAAAGATTATCCACTTCCATGCTTATATTATCAGATAGATTCTCCAACAGTCTCAGCTTTGTCTGCAATTCCGTGACTACATCATATCTTACTTTGTCAGAAGCAACAAGGTCAGCAACAGCATCATTAACCTCTTTGATCTCGCTGAAGATTGACGTTTTCTCCATGAACTGTTCACTGATTTTGAAATCAAGTGTGGCAACTAGAGAACTATCAAATCCACCAGCAATTTTTCTCAGCTCCATGTATGTCTTCTCATCACCATATAAACCAGACAACATAACCCCACATACCCAGAACCCAATACTCCTCATCTCCTTTACAGCCTCATGAACCATGTTCTCCTTGTCAGAGAAAACCCTTGCTTTGGAAAGATCTTTGCCACAGTTGGTGCTGAAACCTCCCGGTTGAAATTGAATTCCCTTCAAATGCTTTCTAGCCAAAGAAGGTGAGTTCTCCAGCAGATTTAAACCATGAGCCAGAGACATCCTAGCTTGGCCAAGATGAGAAAGACAAGAAGAAATAGAATTCAAAAGATCTAACAAACTCAAGGTGTAGCTGAGATACCCTTCAGTCAAACCAACCTCCCATTTACTCATAGGGTAATCCATATCCGCAACAAGCTTTGCAAAAGCCTTGTTGATCAAAGGCAAGAGGGCTAAACACCTTCCAAACCATGTCAAGGACAGGGTTTCCGATCTGGCTTTCAAATCCGATGTTAATTGATCAATTGATTTAGACACATGGGATTTGAAAGCCAGCAGTGAAGATGATGACAACTGCTCCGGCTGAGGGCGTGTGATGCTATGCTGGCGATTCTCCAGCTTGAAGTAACAATGTTTTGCTATTTTCTCTATCAAAAGTACCATTTGACTATTGGAAGCTACAACACAAAGAGATGAATGCTTCAAAGCTTTATAAAGGGGTGTTGTGACAACTAAAATTCAAAGAAAGGTTTGAAAGTTTATTTTGGCTGCGTGACTAACCTTGATAATTAATAAGCATGCTCACAAACCTATCATCTTTAATTTTTTTTATTACTAAATCAAATAAAAATATTTATGATATTAAATATTGAATTTAAAAATAAAAATAAAAATTATTTAAAACATGGGACTCATGAAATTGATAGTGGTTAAATGTGTTTAGGAACGACAAATTGTGGACATTTTTTATTATTAAAAATCTCCTTTTTATCTTCAAAAAATTGTAAAACAATAAAAAAAATTATATATTTTTAATGTAATTTAATTTTGATCAATTTTATGACAGTAAATTGTTACTGGAATGAAATTTTTGAAAGTAATATATATATATATATATATATATATATTTATTTATTTATTTATTTATTTTTTTATTTATTTTTTTATTTTTTGTACACCTTTATGCTGGAGGAGATACTGTACGTGGAGAAAGAAAATGCCCAAATTGGATAAGAACACGTAACAAAAACGTGTTTGATGACGCACTCAAAGATTAAGATTTAATGTTTTTGTGTCTTTTTTAGCAAAATAAAGTGTAAGCGTGTGGAACCATGGAGTATTTTCAGTGGGCAATTTATTTCATTCTATGTTCGGAACCATCCATTCGGTTTCCCAGATTATGTGCGGTTCCAAACGCGCCGCTTTGACTGGCTTCAACTCGTGCAAGGATAATTTCTTTTAAATAAATATAGAAATATTAACAATAATAAACAATTTAAAAATATTTTCTTATTATTTGATAAATATAAATATTAATTGGTATTATGCAATTAGTTTGAGGTATCGTTTTAACAGGTCTTATGTTGTTATTGATGGAAAGATGATTATATTAATTATTCTCGTACAAGTCTTTCCGAAATTGAAAAAAACATATTTTTAGTAGTCAGATTTTATTATTTAAATATTTCTTTTTGTTAGTTTTTAAAAACAGTTTTATAAATATATTATTATGTCTAAAAAATAAAAAATAGGAAAATTAGTTATATATATATATAAATATATTTTATAAATATATATATAAAAAAATAGGATTGGATTTTTTTCAGGAAAAAGTAAAAAATCTTTTTCTCATCATCTTTATTTTTCCGGACAACGAAAGTCTGCAATTCAAACTCTTCTCACGAGTACACGAGGGTAGGAGGTGTTATGTTAACCTTTGGGAGCGAACGACGTTAATCGATTACACCTTGGCCGTGTCAGAATTTCACTTTTAGGGCAGTGGTTCCTCCGTGACACAATTGTCTTGATTTATCTGTTTTACTAGTCCTTTTCAAAGTTCTTCAATGATAATTGTTGTTTCTGCTTCTGTTCTCTAGTCGTTGCCCGATCTCTCCAAGCTTGAACCTTTAGATGGACTCAATTGGTCCCAGAAACTTTTAATCTTCTTCGAACAGCTTGAGGTCGATTATGTTTCGTTCACTCTTGTTCCTAATGATCAACTCGTTGTTCCTACTACTCTAACTGTCACGCCTTCAACGGAAAAAAACAAAAATAGATGATAAGGAATCAAAGGCAAAATACGTGAAGGATAATAAAGCTGTCAGAGGTCATCTTCTCAATCACATGACAAATGCTCTCTTGATATTTTTGTTGAACAGAAATATGCAAAGGAAATATGGGATAACTTGGAACCAAGGTATGATGCTAATGATGCTGGGAGGAAAAAATATGTGGTGGGAAAATGGATGGAGTTCCAGATGGTAGATGACAAGCCTATCATGGAGTAGATTCATGAGTATGAGAACTTGGTTGCAGATGTGCTAAGAGAAGGCATGAAAATGTGTGATGTTCTGCAGGCTAATGTTTTGCTGGAAAAATTTCCACCTTCATGGAGTGATTACAGGAACCATCTGAAACACAAAAAAAAGGATTTGCATTTACAAGAACTTATAAGTCACATGAAAACTGAGGAGACTAATCGTCTAAAAGATAAAGAAAACTTTGTTTCTTCAATTTCTGTTAAAGCTAAGTTGGTTAAATCTTCTGTTGCCTATAAAGACAGGTACAAAGCCAAAGGAAAGAAATTCAAAAATAGCGGATACCAAAAATATCTCAGGTGATAACGGAAAGAATCACAAAGGCAAAGTGATAACCTGTTTTGAATGTAGAAAACCAAGCCATAAGGCATACCAGTGCTGGAATAGGAAGGATAAGAAACCTATCAGTAAGTCCAACAACTGTGCTCCACAAGTCAATGTTGCTGAAAAGGAAGATATAATTGTTGTTGTGGTGGTAGAAGCAAACTTGTTGGAAAACATGGTCGACTGGCTATTAGACACTAGTGCCACCAGACATTTTTGCACCAACAAGGCTCTTTTCCAGAAATTTTGTGATGCAGTAGATGGTGAACATGTCTTCATGGGCAATCATCTACTACTATGGTGCTTGGTAAAGGAAAAATACTCCTAAAACTTACCTATGGAAAAACTTTAGCTTTGAATGATGTGTTGTATGTTCCCTCCCTTTGTAGGAACCTAGTTTCTAGTAGTTTACTCAATAAGGCTGGTTTGAAACTTGTGTTTGAGGGTGATAAAGTGATTTTAGCAAAAAATGAGGATTTTGTGGGTAAGGGATACTTGTCTGATGAGTTGTTTATTCTGAACTTTGTTCCTATTATTGCTAATGAAAGTACCTTTAGTTGTGCTTATATTGTTGAATCTGTTAACTTATGGTATGGTAGGTTAGGCCATGTAAATTTTAGTTCCATCAAAAGATTGAAAAATATGCATCTTATAAATGTGTCTGATGAAAATGAATATTCTAAATGTACAGTTTGTGTTGAAGCAAAATTTGCAAAGAAACCGTTTAAACAAGTCACTTCCAGAAGCACTGAATTGCTTGAATTGATACATTATGACTTGGCTGACTTTAAAAACACAATGAGTAAAGGTGGCAAAAATATTATATAACTTTTGTTGACGACTTTTCCAGATATACTAAGATTTATTTGTTAAAGTCAAAATATGAGACTGCTCAAAACTTTTTAAAGTATAAAGCTGAAGTAGAAAATCAATTGGATAAAAAGATTAAAAAACTTAGGTCTGATAGAGGTGGTGAATATAACACAAATTACCTTAAAAAGTTGTGATGAAAATGGTATTATACATGAATCTTCTGTCCCTTATACACCTCAACAAAATAACATAGCTGAACTGAAAAATAGGATATTAAAAGAAATGATGAATGCTATGTTATTAAGTTCTGGGATGCCTGATAACATGTGGGGTGAAGCTGTTTTGTTTGCATGTTATATTCTAAACAAAGTTCCTCATAAGAAACTAGATATAACTCCTTATGAACTATGGAAAGGTTTTGCACCCAACTTAAATTATTTAAAGGTTTGGGGATGCTTGGCTAAAGTTGCACATCCAGAATTTAGAAAACCTAACATTGGTTCTAAAACTTTTGATTGTGCATTCATTGGCTATGATCAAAATAGTGCTGCATACATATTCATGTGTTTGAATGATAGTTCTATTTGTGAATCTAGAGATGTTGAATTCTTTGAATATGTGTTTCCTCTTAATAAAATGATATTTGAAAATGTTGCCTCTTCAAGGGTTGATATGGTAAATAAATCTACTTCTAGTGATCATGTGAATGAATTTAGAAGAAGTAAGAGGAAGAGAACTGAGAATAGTTTTGGGTCTAATTTTTTGACTATTTTTATTGTTGAAAAACCTCATAAAATTAATGAGCAATTTGTTCCTATATTCTTGATTGGTGATGATCTTAAAACCTATAAAGAGGCCTTGACCTCTATAGATTCTAGATTTTGGAAAGAAGCAATTAAAAGTGAATTAGACTCTATTATGATGAACCACACTTGGGATTTGGTTGATTTGCCTAAGGGTAGTAAACCTATTAAGTGTAAATGGATCTTTAAAAGGAAAATTAGACCAGATGGATCTATAGAAAAATTCAAGGCTAGACTAGTGGTAGTGGGATATACACAAAAGGAAGGTATTAATTATTTTGACATTTATTCTCCTGTGACTAAAATTGCTACTATTAGATCTTTGATTGCTCTTTCAGCTATTCGAGGTTTGATAATTCATCAGATGGATGTAAAAACAATTTTCCTTAATGGAGACCTGAAGGAAGAAATTTACATGAAGCAACCAGAGGGATTTGTAGTTGCTGGACAAGAGGACAAGGTATGCAAGGTTAAAAAATCTCTCTAAAGCCTCAAACAGGCACCCAAACAATGGTACGAAAAATTTGATCGTACTTGAGTAACCAATGGGTATGTTGTGAATGCCTCTGATTCATGTGTTTACTCTAAATTGTTTGGTTCTAATTGTGTGATTATATGTTTATATGTTGATGACATGCTCATTTTCGGCTCTAACTTGGAAGTAATAAATGAAACCAAGATATTTTTTACTGCTCACTTTGAGATGAAAGATTTAGGTGAGGCAGATGTTATTCTTGGTGTCAAAATAAGGAAAACTGATTTTGACTTTTCATTATGTCAATCACACTACATTGAAAAGATACTTAAGAAGTTCGATTACTTTGATACAATGCCGGTAAGAACTCCTTATGACCCTAGCATGAGTCTTAAAAGAAAAAATGGTGATAGTGTTTCACAAGCGGAATATGCTAAAGTTATAGGAATTGTTATGTATCTCATGAACTACACAAGACCTGATATTGTTTATGTTGTAAGTAGACTAAGTATATACACTCATAATCCTAATAGTGAACATTGGAATGCACTTCATCGATTGTTAAAATACCTTAAGGGAACTATGAATTTATGTTTGCATTTTAACAAGTTTTTTGTTGTTTTAGAAGGTTATTGTGATACAAACTTGGTGACAGATAATAATGAGGTGAGTTCTACTAGTGGGTATGTGTTCACTTTAGGAGGAGGAGTTGTTTCATGGAAATCGTCCAAACAGACCTGTATTGCTCGGTCCACCATGGAATCTGAATTCATTGCTCTTGAGCTAGCAGGTCAAGAAGTAGAATGGCTAAAAAACTTGTTAGGTGATATTCCATTGTGGGGGTCTTCTGTACCAATCTCATTGCATTGTGATTCATAAGCTGCTATTGGAGTTGCCAAAAATTATGTGTATAATGGTAAAAGAAGGCATATTCGCATAAGACATGGTGCAGTTAAACAACTTTTGAAGAATGGAGTAATCTGTCTAGAGTTTGTGAGATCAGAAAGAAACCTAGCAGATCCTTTAACAAAGGGATTGAGTAGGAGAGTCATTCAAGAGACTTCTCAAGGGATGGGACTTAAGCCTTTGACTTGAAAATATTGTGATGCACTACAGCCCATCCCTATACCTATGGTAGTGCTTAAATTCATAGCTCTATGTGTTGAGTGGTCCTGAATAGGACTTGATGGATGATTGTGATATAAGTCTAAAGGACTTAATGACTTTATAACTCTATTTGTTGAGTAGTCTACTGTGGTGATAGACTTGATACAGTTATTGTTTAGATGAGTGTGAAAGTGGGCTGCCTTCTATGAAAGAATACAAAATTTGCTTTCTAGCGCACTCATGGAACCAAGGTATATGCTCAGGGCCTTTAATAACGCTTCTATTGTATTGCAGAATAACAAACTTTAAGGAATTAATATGTGTTATGGGTCTCAACCTAAGTCTTTGAAAGTTCAAAAACTATTTCACTTTCATTAGTTATGTATTTACCTCATTTCACCATACATTAATTCAATCGAAAGAGATTAATGTTTAAGTAACTTATTCCTTCTCGTTGTCCAAAAATGTATTTTTAAACATATAGTCATTTGTGAGGGATTGTTGGGGATATGACTATATTAGCCATTCTCAAACAAGTCTTTTTGAAACTGAAGGAAACACTCTTTTAGTGGTCATTTTTTATTATTCAAATATTTCTTTCCGTTAGTTTCTAAAAACGCTTTTATAAATATATTATTATGCCTAAAAGATATGAAAAGTAGTTATATATATATATATATATATATATATAAAAGTAGGATTGGGTTTTTCCTGAGGAAAAGTAAGAAATCGTTTTCTCATCATCTTTATTTTTCTGGACAATAAGAGTTTGCAATTTCAACTCCTCCCACAAGTGCACGAGGGTAGGAGGTGTTGTGTTAACCTTGGGGAGCGAACGGTATCAATCGGTTGTGCCAGAATTTCGCTTTTAGGACGAGTGATTCCTCCACGACACAACTGTATTGATTTCTCGGTTTTACTAGTAGTTATGATCTTCTTACATATTTTTTTATTTTATTTTTTACTAAAATTAAACTATTGACAAGGATTCAAATTTTAAATATTATTGTTTTCCTTAATATTCTTTTGTCTTTTTGTTTAAATGGGAAGATGAAAAATAAAAAAATGAAAAAAATGGAATTAAAAAAGAAAAATAAATGAAAAATAAAATTAATTTATTTTAATTTTAAGTTAGACGAATTTTCTTTACATTATTTTAAAATTCGATTTGTATCATTAAGAAATTTCATGTAAATAATTAAAAACGCCTAAAATATACTACTAATCCAATAATAAACTGGTGCATGTTATCATTATTTTTTTTATGTTTTTGTATTTTCCGCGGTTTAATTCAAAAAGACACTAACTGGGAGAGTATTTATAAAAAATATTTGTAATGTACATGATAATGTTAAGTGTGTTAAATTTAAAATAAGATAAAATATATTTTGATTAAAATTTTAAAATAACATATTAATTAAAAATATTTGAAAACTAAAATTAAAAAAAAATATATATATATATATATATAATATTTTTTTAATGAATAAAAAATAAATAACTTAATTGTGGAAAATTTTCATCCACTTAAATGACATTTCGAGTTTTTAACATAATATTTAAATTCTTTATATTATTAATAAAAAAACTCATACCCTTATTTATTAAATTTTTTCAGAACATATTTATTAAACTTTTATTCAAATATTATAAATTAATAAATTTAATAATATATTTTGTTGTCATTCATTTCTTTTAATATTAAAAAAATAGTTTTTCAAAAATATAATATTTTTATAAAACAAATTATAATTAAATGATAATATAATTTTTTTAGATATGGATAATTTATAATGATTAAATCATTTTAATATGTTTATATATATATATATATATATATATATATATATAATTAAACTCTACTTTTTAATTTTTATTTGTACATTAATTAATATGTTATTTTAGATCAAATAAAATAAACCACTTTATTAAGAATATGAAAGAGCTGAATATCATTTTATTAAAAATATAATGGAGATTAATGTTATTTTATTAAAACTTAAATTATATGAATATCATTTTGTTCGGTGATGAGTGTCATTTTATAAAATCTTAAAGAAGAGATGAGAAATTTTACTGAAAATATAAAGAAATGAATATCATTTTATTAAAAGCACAAATAAAACAAATATCATATTATTAAAACATAAAAAAAAAAAGATAAGTGTCAAGCTGAGAACACAAAGAAAAACATAAAAATAATTATTATTAAAAAAACATAAATAAAGTTGTTTAAGAAGAACAATTTTTTTTTAATCATATTTTACTCTTGGGTTTTGAGATGTAAACCTATTTGATACAGGACTTTCTTTTATTAATTCTTTTAAATAAAAATAATTAATTTCTGATTTTTATTATCCTATATTTATACACAGGTTTCATTTTATGTTAAAACATTTTATACCCATATGAATTTAAATATTTATATTATTTCATTCTAGTTCAAGAATAACTTTAAATTTTCAATCCTAGTTCACCTATGGAACGGTAGATTTTTTTGTTAAATGTTGAATTTGTATTAAAAAGTTTAAATTTTTATTAATTTATTTAAAATATTGTTAAAAAATACTTTAGTTAATCAAGATTTCAATAATAAGTTGTAATAAATAATTAAAACTTATTTAATTAATTATTTTTAAAATTTTACATAATTAAAGAAAAAATCCAAAACAAAGATGATACAATTTATTAGTATTTTAAAATACACAATATCTTCTTTTTATTTCCATGTAATAGTAATGGATTCTACAATTCAATTTAATGAAAAAGTTGATTTATATTTTTATAAATATTATTAAATATAAACAAAAATATATATTTAAATTTCAAATTGCTACCGTTAAAATGTTCTACTATTTTTTTAAAATTATAGTCCTATTAATTTATAATGAAATATACATTTAAATATTTTCTTAGAGTTTAGAGATTTATTTAAACTTAATTTATTTTCTAGATTTACATTGATGAAACGTTAAAATTTTGGTCTCCCAACCTAATTTGGTAGGCAAGTTTTTGAAGGCCAATTGCAATTAATAAATACCTAAATAATTAAGTTCATTTTAAATGACTAAATTTAATAGCCACCTAAGTTAATAAAATATATAAATACTATTAATAAAAATTACTTAAAATTTATTATATAATTTCTTATTTTAAAAAGTAACATCATAAAAATCTAGTATCTTTCATATAAATAAACAAATATATATATATATATATATATATATATATATATATAAATTATATTCTATTCATTTCATTTACATATAACTCAATCACAATGTATTATTACAGAATAAAAATATAAAAGAAGACATGTCCATCCATGAAGGTTCTTATTCTCTCTAGGTATTAATAATAATAATAATAATAATTAATAAAAGAAAAAGAAATATTGTATAATCTCTCTCCCTATATAGTAATATCTTCTACACAAAAAATCAACCCAATTCAGGAATTCAATGCTTCAAAATGACCATCAATGACAGCACAACCGAAGCTCCGATAAGGGAAACCGAGCTCGAAACGGATCCCACCGCTCCGGCCTCGGGACTGGGCGCCGGCGAAGGGCCGCAATCTTGAGCATTGATGGCGGCGAAGAAGAGAGCAAGAAAGAGGAAAAGGGCGGAGAAGGTTGTGGTTGGTGATGCCATGGCGAGGAAATGAGAAGCTTTCGGTGGATTGAAAAGTGAAGAAGGTAAGTACGGGAATGGCGGTGGAGGAAGATATTTATAGGGAGAAAGGAGGGTGTGGGGCCCAGTGGAAACGTGGACACGTGGCAGGCGGAAGGGACTGAAGCATTGCAGGTACCACGTATGGGTGTGTCTCAACTTGTTTTAGCTTATACGTTTGTTTAGGTTGCAAGTAAAACCTGGGCACCTGTTAAAATTGAACTTCTTTTTGTCTTGATATTTTCGTTATTTATTCAATCAATGCTCTCGTGTAGTATTAATTATTATTTAAATTAAAATATTTGACTAAGTAACGTTCGTGTTGCTTGGGAAACCCATATCAACTCTAATAAAAAGAATTTTTTTAAAGAAGGAGAAATTTTAATTCAACAATTTGAAGCCATTTACTTCTAATTTCTTGAAATTTGTTTAGAATGTTATTGTCAGATGCTTCTTGTAACAATGGTGAAGTTTTATTTACCACATATTATTTATTTTTGAATTTTTATTTTTATACTTAAGATATTATCTATTTTAAAATTTTTATTTATTTTAAAAAAATTATCTTATAAGGTTGATAATAAAAATATAATTTTTTTAATTCATGGTTAAGGGTTTATATTTTAATATATTTATAATTTATAAATTTTGTATTACTTGCACCATTAAAATTGTGGGTATATATAGTACTTTTAAAAGTGTTCAAATTAAAATTCAACGCTAGAGCTTTATGTCATGCTACCTAAAGTCTTTGCCTTTATTGTTGTGCTTAATTATCAATAGCATGATAATAAAGTGTCCTCAAATCCTATTAAATAAGATAAATAAATTATTTTTAATTTATTTACTAAATTATATCTATTTATTATGTATAATTAATTATTCTTTTTCTCACTTACTTTTTAATTTTCTTTCTATTCACTATGTGTTTTTCTTTTTCTCATTTTAAGGTCATCTATTGTTTTTTTTCCTCTTACTATCTTTTGTTATTTTCTCATTTTTCACATATATTTCTACTTAAAAATATTATATTAAAATTTATTAAAAATATGTATTAAAGATTTTTTTTAAATCAACATTAAAACTAAAAAAATTAATTAATTATTTAAAATTATGATGAGAGTAAATAATTTTATTTATGATATAGTAAAAAATTAATTTAAAAGTATTTTATCATGTTAAATCAATTGATCATTTAATTAAAAAATATTAAATATTTTTATTTAATATTTTAATCTAGTTATAATTAGGTTGAATTATGAATTTTTAAAATTATGTATTAAAAAACACTTTAAAATACATATTTTAACATGTTTTTATCAAATTTTAATATAATATGTTTAATTAGAAGAAAATAATATTAGTGGAATAAGAGGAAAAGAATAAAAATTTGGAAAAGAAAAAACAATGAATGAATGGGGAAATGAAAATAAAAAAGGAAATAAGAAATAATTAAGGAGAGAGAAAAGTAAGAGAATGAATTAAGAGAGAAAAATAATTGTTTTTTATCAAAAGAATTTTATTTTCAATAATGCACATGAATATTAAGATTGTTTTTGGTAACCATCACTTCAAGTACGAATGAAAATAAAATAAAAAATAAGAATGAAAATAAAATAAAAAATAAGAATGAAAATAAGAAATTAAAAAAAATTACTTAATATAAAATGATCCATAAAAGATGTAATGACGAGTAAAAACTATTTTTCATTTTGAATTAAAAATTCAAATATAAAAATAAAAAAAATGTCACAATTTTTTTTTAAAGAATTTCTGTCATAAATCTAAGCTCTAAATATAAACTATCTTTATTTTTTTTAAATATATACAAAAATTCTTAAATATTATATATCTAAGACTCAAGACTCATTCTACACTGATCAAAGTAGTCATCTAATTTTTAAAAGAAACTAATTTCTTTAATTATAAAATTATAAAATCACATATACAATATAATACAATAAATTATAAAATTAAAATTCAAAATTATAAATGAAGTCTCAACAATTCTAAATTTATTTTTAATGCTTTTATGAACTCATTATTCTTCCCAAATTGAACAAATTTCCTCCATGAATCAACCTTTCTTAACAAACACACAAATACAAGTGAGAATTAAACTCAATAAATGAAAAAAATAATCTAAAATATAAGAAAACCTACCTAAATTGATATTTTAATTATGTGAAAAATAAAAATCTTATTATCAATCGATGGTATATCTTGCTCTGAAATCCACCTATAAAAAACATCAACTCACAATATTCAATTCACAAATATTTATAATATGCTTTATATGAATCGATTAAATCACAAAATTGAGAATTAGTGGAAGTTAATATATTATTTATATGTAATTACAAGAATCACGTGTAAACTCTTTATATACTTTATTCTAAAGAAAATATTCACCTATGAAGAAAGAGTTAGAGAATAAAACAAAAATATTTATAATTTTATTTATTTATCAATCATTTGCATTCAATCTCTCTCCTTTCTTTCTTTTTTCTTTTTCTGAGTTTTCTTTTTTAATATTTTTCTCTAATTTTTATATAGTAAAACAAAGATATTAGAAAAAAATGAGATGAGATAAATTTATGAAAGATATAAATCTTAAATAACATTAATATTTGGAATTAATTATAAAAATATTAATCACAATCTAACAAGTCTACCTAACATTATAAAAATACTTCTATGTTTTACACTTGATGATCCAATATAACTATAACTTCACTCTCTTTTTGTTCTTATCTGTTAGCAGAAATTGCCCCCATACAACAAAACTCTATCATCATGAGTAGTACAAGAGAAAAGCAAGAATCCACGCTACACTGAAACTATAAATATGGTGATGTAATTGAAACATGGTAAATATTATAGTACAATTGAAGTAAGTGGAGTCACAAATACAATACAATGAATACAATAATATAACAAAAGTTGAGAATGTCGTGACATAATTTATGAAAAACTAAAACACGATTAATATTATAATATGAATAAAACGTGATAAGATGATAAATAATAAGTGAAATGGATCAACTTATCATTGTTGTAACTAATTCAAGTAATTATGTTTGTAAATAAGTTTGTTGTAAATAGACTCTATAAATAAAAATTTACTCTGATATAAAATACACAAGAGACAATGAAGTTTTATGTCATCTATTTTTCTATTTTTTCTTTCTCTGCTAACAAGTGGTATCTAGAGCATTAAGATTTGGGACAAGATGACTTTTAATGGAGGGGGAAATTTCATGTCTAATCTGCCAATTCTGGATGGAAAAAATTATGATCATTGGGTGATAAGAATGAAAGTCATTCTGGGCTATCAAGAAATTCTTGATTCGGTGAAAGAAGGCATTGGAGAAAAGGCAGATGCAGCATCAAAGAAAAAGGACTTCAAGACACGTTGTCTTTTACATCAGTGTGTGGATCTTGTCAACTTTGATAAGATTTCCAAAGCCCAGACAGCAAAGGAGGCTTGGAATATTCTGCAAAGGGCATATGGAGGTGATGACAAGATCAAGAAAGTAAAGTTGCAGTCTCTCACAAGACAGTACAAGCTGTTATCCATGCTTGATCAAGAATCTGTGGCAGACTATTTCAACAGGCTTCATTTGTTGGTAAATTCCATGAGAGCCTGTGGAGAGGTGGTGACATAACAAAATATGGTGGAGAAGATTTTGCGGACATTATCCTCAAAATTTGACTATATTGTAGTAGCAATAGAGGAGTCAAAGGATATTGGCAAGTTGAAGATAGAAGAGCTCCAGGGATCACTGGAGGCCCATGAATTAAAGTTGTTGTCAAAGAATGCTGACAAAACTGGCGAAGAGCAAGCCTTAAAAGCGGAAGTCTCCAAGAAAGTTAGTTCATCACGTGAAAGATGGAAGAAAAGAAAGCAAAGTAGTAGATTTGACAAAGAAAGGAGTTCTTTTAATCAAGAACAATCCAAACATGATGAGAAACCAGAATTCTTTGGTAGGAACAACAGAGGAGGTAGAAGTGGGAAGTGGAATCATGATATGAAAAAAATTCAATATGGAGGAAAGTAACTCTGCAGCTACTCCAGCAGAGATAAGTTTGAAAATGTGTTATATGTTCCTGGCATGAAGTGTAATTTGTTTAGTGTAGGGCAATTGGTTGAGAAAGGCTTCTCAGTTACAATGAAGGATGAGTTGCTGAAAGTTTATGACTCAAGACAAAGATTGTTGTTGAAGTCTCCTTTGTCAAAGAATAGAACATTCCAAACAAGACTGCAACAAATGGAAAAACAGTGTTTTACAGCCACTATCTCAAACAAATCGGATTGGATTTGGCATATGAGGTTTGGTCATTTAAATTTTCAAAGTTTAAAACAACTAGCTGACAAGAAAAATGGTGATTGGATTACCTAACATATCTTTGTCGGATAAAATGTGTGAAGAATGCTTGTTTGGAAAACAATCAAGAAATGTTTTCCAGTCTCACATGCATATGAGGGCTACTGAATTGTTGCATGTAGTGTATTCTGATGTGTGTGGACCTTTTGAAGTCTCCTCTTTAGGACAAAACAAGTATTTTGTGTCTTATGTAAATGAGTACAACAGGATGATGTGGGTGTATTTGATTAAAGTCAAGTCTGATGTTTTTGTAATTTTTAAAAGATTTAAGGCTGCTGTTGAAAAATATAGTGAGAAGGCTATCAAGATTCTCAGGACTGATGGAGAAGGAGAATATACTTCTCAAGTTTTTCAGGATTTTTGTACAGAGAATGGCATAACACATGAAGTCACAGCTCCATATACTCCATAACACAATGGTTTGGCAGAAAGGAGGAACAGAACTATGCTTAATATGGTTCGAAGCATGCTGAAACAGAAGAAATTGTCACATTCATTTTGGGGAGAAGCAGTTTCCACTGCTATTTATGTGTTAAACAAGTGTCCTACAAAGAAGTTGAAGAAGAAAGTGCCAGAGGAAGTCTGGTATGGAAGAAAACCGTTTGTGAATCATCTCAGGATATTTGGTTCACTATGTTTCAAACATGTGCCAGATGCAAAAAGAAGAAAGCTACAGGACAAAAGTGAGTGCATGATTCTTGTTAGTTATCACTCTACAGGGGCATATAGGTTATATAATCCTATTACAACAGAAATATGTATCAGTAGGGATGTGGTAGTGAATGAAGTTGAAACATGGGACTGGACATCAAATTGTAGCAATCTAAAAGATCAAAATATTCGGATAATGCTTGAAGATGAACATAGTGATAAACAAAGCAGTGAAGAGGCACCTGTCCAACAGGTTCAGGAGGCACCTGTCCAATAGCAGGAGGCACCTTTCCAGCAACATGTTCCTATACAACAGCTGCAGAGGCAACCCAGACAAAGAAATATACCACGATCTTTGCTTGATTTTGAACTATTTCCAGATAGTGCCGTAACAGATAAGGGGGATATTGTGCATTTTGCGTTATTAGCAGAAGTTGAGCCCATTGATTATGCAGAAGCATTGAATCAAGAATTATGGAGAGTTGTCATGATAGAAGAGTTAGAAGCAATTGAGGAGAATAGAACCTGGTTTTTAACTGAATTACCCTGTGACAAAAGATCAATTGATGTCAAATGGGTTTTCAAGATTAAGCAAAATCCTGATGGATCTATTTCTAAACGAAAGGCCAGATTGGTTGCAAGGGGTTTCTTACAGAAACAAGGATTGGATTACTTAGAGGTGTTTGCTCCAGTTGCTAGGATTGAAACCATAAGATTGGTTGTGGCTTTGGCAAATGGAAGAGGGTGGCCCTTGCTTCAACTAGATGTGAAGTCTGCGTTTTTAAATTGGCCACTAGAAGATGTGTATGTTACACAACCACCAGGATTTGAGGTTCAAGACAGTCCAGGCAAGGTTTACAAATTGAGAAAAACCTTATATGGTGTGAAGCAGACCCCTAGAACCTGGAACAGAGTGATTGATTCGTTTATGCAGAAACATCACTTCCAAAAATGCTCGGTTGAACATGGTGTGTATGTAAAGTATCAGAATGGAGTTGGTTTATTGATAATGTGCATATATGTGGATGATCTATTGATCACAGGGAGCAGTATTACAGAGATATAGAAGTTTTTAAGAAAACCTTGATGGCTGAATTTAAAATGGCAGACCTTGGAAGATTAAGATATTTTTTGGGAATGGAATTTGTTGAAAACAACAGAGGAATGATATTGCATCAACACAAATATGCCACTGAAATTTTGAAAAAATTCAATATGGAGGAAAGTAACTCTGCAGCTACTCCACCAGAGATAAGTTTGAAGTTTGATGAATGCAGTGATGAAAAGGAGGAAGTGGACAACAACTTGTACAAACAGATGGTGGGCTCATTGAGATATCTTTGCAATAGCAAGCCTGATATCTTATTTATCGTTGGATTGATTAGCAGATACATGAATAATCCAAGGAAGGCACACTTTCTTATTGTAAAAAGGGTGTTGAGGTACATCAGTGGCATAGTGAGTCATAGAAATTTATTTCTAAAAGAGGGTCAGTTGCAAGGTGAATTGTTTGGCTATTCGGATTCTGATTGGTGAGGAGATAGCCTAGATAGAAGGAGCACCAGCAGATACATTTTCATGTTTTTGGGAGCACCAATCTCTTGGTGCTAAAAGAAGCAATCAGTTGTAGCATTATCTAGTTGTGAGGTTAAATATATTGCTGGTGCATATGCAGCATGCCAAGCTGCACGATTGGACTCAATTCTCATAGAATTGACAGTGAAAATAGAAAGACCAATTAAGTTGTTCGTGGACAATAAATCAGCCATTAATCTAGCTAATAATCCTATATCTCATGGTAGGAGTAAGCATATTGAAACTATATTTCATTTTTTACGTGAGCAGGTGAATAATGGAAGTTTACATCTACTTCATTGTTCTAGTGAAATTCAAGTGACAGATATAATTACCAAGTCGTTGAAAAGAGATAGATTTAGAAGATTGAAAGTTAAAATGGGTGTGATTGATTCATGTACTTGAATTAGAGGGGAGTGTTGTAATTAATTCAAGTAGTTATGTTTATAAATAAGTTTGATGTAAATAGATTCTATAAATAAAAATTTACTTTGATATAAAATACACAAAAGACAGAGAAGTTTTATATCATCTGTTTTTCTTTCTCTCCTAACAATCATAACTCAACTCAAACATGTTTAATCTATAAACTAAATAAGTTGATTGATATTTAAGAAGATGAAAAATATGAAATATAATAAGGCTCAAACTCGTAATGAGACCAATTAATTCATGGATTATAACCCACATTAGATTATTGCTTTATCTACTTCAAAATTACTTGGGTTGATTCAATCGCGTAAGACAGATTTTGATGAATTGAGAAATACCTTGGGAATGAATGACTCACGTTTTCCTCACGTCAACCAATATTCACTCAACGTTTGTGTTATTTCAACTCAAAACAAATGACGCGTGACCCCAAAATTCTACGTCACTCAATTATTAATTGCAATACCAGTCTGACGATTTTTTTTTTTTATATAAATTATTATATATTATTAACACGATTACGAATGACATTAATAACTTATACTTTGATTCTAAACATTCATTTATGGTATTATAAAAATACAGCATTTAAAAAAAAATATTTGTTAAATAAATAATAATTAAATTAAAAATTATCACTACCATTTTATTAAAAACATATAAATATCTTAAATAATTATTTTATATAATCAAATTAGTTTTATAACGATAAACGTATTGAACGCATATAAATTTAACCGTTGTTTTTGAGGCAGCGTTATTTACACGTAGGAGTCTGTCATATTATTGCCTCAAAAACTAGAATGATATATTTAGATTTTATGATTTTATTTTATGTATAAGAAAAATGAATAACATTCCTAAACAATTTTCAGAAGTAAATTATTTTAAAATAAAGATTCCTCGTAGCGAAGGAAAATGTATTTAAATTATCATCTTCTTAATGTAAGACGGGTGGATCTACTAAAATATAAATAATATATTGTATTAAAATATAAATTATTTACAAAAATCGAAAATAAAAATGCATAACAAATTTAGAAAGAACAACATAAAATCAACAGTAATAGAATATATTATATAATTATTCAACAAAGCCTAAAAGATGAGAAAGGATAAAATCATTTCTCAATTATTTTCTGATTGGTATACAATATATACAAACACGAAACTCGCAATAATCATCATCACTCGGTAAAGTTGTATTATAGAAACGTAATGTAATTAAATAATAACATAAACGGACTCAGTGCTTAAAGATGACAAATATGGATAAGACAATCACAGTTGCTATAGTGATGACGGAGCCGGATACTACTGATCCAGCTCCGCCGGCATCTGGAGCCGGGATTGGGGAGCCCTGGGCGGAGACACTGACGGAGAAGAGAGTGAGGAGAAGGAAGACGGTGATGGTGAGGAAGATGAAGATGATCTTGGTTGATGCCATGGAGAGAACAGTGAGACTAGGTTAAAGATATGAAGATGGAGAATTGAATAGTGGAAGGTGGAGATGTTGAAGAATGGTAATGGTGGAGGGTATTTATAGGAGGAAAATGTGAAGGATAGATGAAGAGTATTGGTGAGTAGTGAATAATCATAGATTGAAATGTAACCATACTCAAATTTTCAAAATAAAATTTTAAATCCATTAAATTATAATTAAAAAATAATAACTAATCTTGTCAAAGTTGATATCATTTAAAAAAAAATAAAAATCAAATGATATCAATCAAGGTTTGGTGTATGATATGAAAGGCTAATAATGATGGTGTATTAAAATAAGTACGGTGAATAAAAATCACTTTCATGAACATAGATTAGTTTCTGTTGGTCAATGGAAAAAAAATAAAAATAGACAATTTATTGAAGTTAAGGGGAATATTGTATTGAAAAAATGGAAAAAGAGGGCGTTGGAACCGAGGGGGAAACGTGTATTCGTGATTATTGATGTTTTATTAAACAACCTGATTTGTTGGACTACTTGTCGTCCAAGTAAACACCACCGTACTTGTTGATTCATCTCCCTATTATTAAGGTCGTCGAACATTCTAGTCAATGTTGTTCTCCTTATTAAAACTATAAATATTGTGTATATAAAAATATTATAATATTTTGAGGTTAATTTGATCTAAATTAATTTGCTGGTATTTGTTGCGCCATTGTTTGGCTCCAGTGTGGGACTGGTATTTGTTTATAGTTGCAGATTGTACCAAACAAGAAGAAAGTGACACAAAAAACAAAGGGACGGCGTTGCCAAGTACAATTAACTTGTTTATTAAGTGATGATTGGTTTGAAAACCAAGATCATAGTCAGTTTTCTAAACCTACGACAAAGACAACCGCCAAGAAACCGTTTTTGCTTGGTTGTAATTGTGATGTTAAAATGATGTGTTAGGATTTAGTACAATGATGAAAAAGATATTAATATGTTATCAAAAATAAAATTTAATATTTTGATTATTCACATGGACAATTATTCTGATTCATGATATTTATTTCATATTATTTGGATTAGGTCTTTTTATAATATTTTCTTTATCATTATATTAATATTTTATTTTAAATAATTTAATTTATATAAAAAATATTTAATATTATCGATATTTAAATACTCAAAAATAGTTATTTTATTAATTATAAATATTAAAAAAATTAATAATTAAAAACATAAAAATAAAATAAAAAAGTAACTAAATTTACTAATTGATTGACTATTTAAAAAAACTCATAACCAAAGTCATCATTAATATACTATTTCGTGTCCTGAACTGAAATCTTTCGGCCCAACTAAAAATGAAACCCCGTATCCAAGGAAATGGGTAGAGTCCAACATAATGAAAGAAAAAATCTTATCAACAAACAGATTACAGTTGGGCCAAGCCCAAAGATAAAAATCCGTATGAGCATAATAAAAATAAAAACAAATAAAATAATAAATTAGTTTTTTACATGTATATTATATTAGAAGTGATTAAATACTTAACTCAAATCTATAATTAAAAATAAAATTTATATTCATTTACATATTATAATATTATTATATTTTTAATCATTTGATCATATTTCTCCAAAAGAATTTTTTCATCATCTTATTACAAATTAAAACTTTAAATTTATTTCATAAACCTAACTTCTTCCTACACCTCTGATAAGAAGATAGCTATTATAATATTATGGTTGAATAAACTCACTAAATTACATAAATCTAAATTAAATATTTTATATAAATTTATAATATATATTTTAGTTTATATTAATTAATGAAAAGTTATAAACTTTCCAACATTAGATGTTTTGTGACTAGACTATGTTTGGTGGTCACTTTGAAAATGTTCTACAAAATAAAATCACACAATTGATTGTGTTAAAGTTAATAATAAATAGTACAATTAAAAATCAAATTCTATGATATCTCATTAAAAAAAGGAAAGTTTGGCTTCTAAATTCTATGAAATTTCACTATATTTATGACATATAGACCAATTTTTGTATAAAGACTATATAAAAAAAATGAAACTCATTTTTTCATAAATTAAAGTTAAATTATACATAAATTTTTAAAAAATTATAAAAATTATATAAGAGAATTTATATGAATTATTTTATATGAAAAATATTAATTTACGGAGAAGTGGATTTCATTTTTTTAAATGAAAAAATTCGTTAAAATATCTTTTTATTAATATTTCTTTAGAAATCATTAAGATTACTGTATGGAGTGTGGCTATAGTGTGTGATAATCTGCATGATTAAAGTACAATGTAAAATTGTCTGTATAGCTACAATGCATATTTAATTTTTCTCTTTCTAATCAAAAATTGCAAAAAAAAAATTTCTATTCATAATGATAACCAACCACATAACTCCAACCACCTTGAAAAGTAATAATAAGCACCCAACACACACACACACAACAATTGATTCTTTGTGACTTCTATAAAAGACTCGTGAGTCTAACCCTATTTTATTTATATTTCACAAAATTCAGTGTAATTAACTATCCTAGTCATGGAGATGAAGAAGGTTGCTTGTGTCGTTCTTTACGCCGTGGCATCCATCAGCGCCGCCATGGCACACGGTGGCCATGACAAGGCAGAAGCCCGGCCAGCCTCGCCACGCCGGTGGCACCGAAAGACAGCGCCACCGCTCTTGGTCCATTGCTTGGTGCCTCACTCCTCTCCTTTGTTGCATACTATTTGCAATTCTAAGCCATGATAGAGCTACGTGCATGGTATTTTACAAAAAGAGGGTAAAGAGAAACAAAAGATGGAATCCTAGATCTACTTATTATAATGGATGTGAATTTGAGATTCATGTGATTCTTTTTTTTTTTTTATTGGTTTTGTTTTTCCTAGAAAAATATCCTAGGATTTTCCGTCCAAAATTATGGTATTATGTATAAGTTGAATGATTTCATATAATGTTTAGTAAGTTTGTATTGTTGTATTACATATGATTTGATTGGTTTTGAATTCTAGTCATGTTTCTTTGGATAACGATTCCATCCACTGCAGATATCACAATTATAATTTTGAATGATTGAGTATAATTTCGGTGTTTATCACGAATGATTAAACTTATTATGGTAAAATATATCATTTAATTTTACAAAATTAGTTTCGTTAGGAACTAAAATGAAAAAAAAAATATATATATATATATATATATATATATATATATATATAATAATAATAATAAAAGACTGGAATAAAATTTTGAATGGCTTTAAATTTTTTTTAATTTATTTCAAATACTAATATAATAATAAAATTTAATTCAGAAATTAAATTCATTATCAAATTCACAGTAGAACTTTACCAACAAGAAGATTCTCATCCTAGAACTTTACCAACAAGAAGATTCTCATCCTATAAATTGATCACGAGTCAATCATAGTAATATAACATCTTCTTCAACCCAAAACTTTAAACTTTAGATTATGGATTCACGAGTCAATCACAGTAATATAACATCTTCTTCAACCCAAAACTTTAAACTTTAGATTATGGATTTTTTCACTTAAAACTTAATTTTTCTATTTTTATCAAATATAAGACTTTAAATTCACAATTAAATTCTCAACAAATAATATAAAATGATAACAAGTTAACTCAATAGCATAATTTAATGGGCTAATATACATTTGAATAACTTTTTTATAAGAATATTTTTAAAAAATAATATAAAATTAAAAAAATATATTATATATAAGAAAAATTCTATAAATTAGTACATACATAAAATACTTTAAATTTATATAAAAATAATATTTTTCTCTCTCGTAAATTCTTATGGAGAATACCAAATAACTCGTAAGAATTAAACATGCAAAAACTAGCTTAATAATATTTTGCCTTGGTTTTGTAACACAATCATATTACAATAAAATAAAATTATTTTTATTTTATTATAGAGTAAATTAAAACGATCATAATATTTTATCAAATAACACTTACTTTTTTTATTTCTTAAATATATACAATTTTTAAAAATATTTTTACTTTAAATAAAAAATTTTATGTAACACGTGGCTGCAGCTTTCCAATTAATCGGTTTTAAATGAAGGGGGCCGTTGACCTTGACTTCTTTGTCATGAAGTGGGGGCCAACACTCCGACTAATTAACAGCCAAAAAAATATATAAGTTCTTTTATATAACATTTTTAAAAATTTTATTTTTACTTTAAATATCTAGAAATTAACTTCCAGAAAGTGAAATATAATAAAAAAGAAAGTGACAAAAAGATAAAAATTTGATTTTAATCAAAATTCCCTTTTTTATTTTTATTTTTAAACCTAACAAAATAATGGATATCAATTCTTCTTCTTTTTTCACATTTATTACCAGCTTTTATTATGTCACCAAATTCTGGGACATGATAGTTTTATCTTTTCATTCTGAATCAAATATATTTTATGATTTTACATTCTTACTTCTTGGACTCTAAAATTGTTAATTAAAACTTAAAATTCAAATAATTTAAGCATCTTACTCAACCTTCGTTCATTCAATGTAATGATTTTATAAATATTACATTCACTTAAAGTCATCAACTGTTACATATTCATACTACTTAATAGGATTTTACTCTTTTTGTTAATATATTTTACTAACTTCAGTTTGGAGAATAAAAAAGAAGAAGAAGAAGAAGCAAACTCACTTCTAAAAGGATTCTGCTTTCATTATTATTCAAGTGCTTGTTTAAATATTATAAATTTTAAGTATATATTATCTAATTTTTCAATTTGACGTAGGCATTTACATTTTTTTCTTAAATTTGATTTTCTTACTCTTCTAATTGTGTAACTTTTATATATCTATTAATTTAATATTCAAAATTCACTTATATATACCAATCTCTTTATTATATTAATTATGTAAATTCAATATATCAATATTTAACATATTTTTAAAAATATTGATGAAATAATGTATAACAAAGTATCATATCGTATAAATTTACTTGCATATTAAATTTTAATATAAATAATATTTTAAAGTTTTTATCTAAGAATTCATATGTTAACGAGGGTGTTTTATAATTGGGATACAATGATGTATGGTTTGTTTTTAGATAATTATTTCATTGAGGCGATTTTTAAGAATAATTGAAATTAATAATATTATTATAACATATAAATTACTTTTATACGAATCATTAACATTAATAATATTATCATAACATATAAATTACTTTTATACGAATCATTGATATCAATCATGAAACTAAAAATTTAGATCACTTTTATTCTTTGGTATTCGATTAGATGATTATGTTTTACTAATTTGTTTCAATTTAACATGCAATCCAGAGTTTGTTTTAACCTATCCTACTTAATTTGTTGACTCAACGAATCAAAATTGCAGCAATATTTTTAAAAAAATGTGTATATTAAAATAAAATATATTATAATTTAATATATTAATTTTTATGTTACATAATTAAAATAAGTAAATTTATTATAATATTATAATTTAAACTACAAATATTAAAAAATTAAGTTTAAACTATTAAACTATTAATTATCATTGAGTGTTTTAATCTATAAATATAATAATTTTTTCAATCTATTCAATAAAAATATTAATTAGTAAGTAAAAACTAAAAAAACATTTATATAATTGCGTTATATTTTTAAATATATAAAATATTTTTAATATAAAAAAAATTAACGAATCAACCCATTGGTATGTCAATATTTTTTAACAAAACAAGTCAAAATATATAATCTCTTAATTATAACAAAATAACATGTTTTGTAATTTTTTACGGACCAAAAGTGAAATTGAATAAAATCAAACGAGTTAGCATCTTTACGATATAAACTTGTAACCATCTTGATTGTCCTATTCATGCATCTATAAGTTCGGAGTTAATACTTTATCTAAAAACAAATAAATATGTTTACCTCAAATTCATTATATCTAAAATATCATATATTTTAAAGATTTAATTTTTCATAATTTTATTTAAAAAATATTTCAATAAATTATGATGTTTATATAAGTTGTACTATAAATATCAACTATTAAACAATTTAGAAAATTTACGTGTCATAACTTTAATAATATGAATATATTAAAAAAAGTTAAAGAACAATAATTGTCATGATATTCTTTTTATCATATTTCTTATTTAGTATCTTATTTAAGGTTTGACTAATTTTTTTATTTGAAATGTTTCTATAAATTCATTGTTTTATGTATATTCTATATTTGCTTTGTATTATTATGTTGACCTTATTGTTTTATATTTATTTTCTCTCATGTTTGGTTTTATAAAATCTTAGTAATTTCTTTTTCTGACTTACATAGTTAAGAGTGCCTGCATGTTTGGATAAGGTGGTCTACAATGTTTAATTTCTCGATACAATTGTAGTTGTTCATTCCTCTAATCGCTACAAGATAAAAGGACATATTGATGCATTGAGGAATGAATAACACATTTGAATGAATAAGAGCAAGTGACAAATGAATCAGAGCAATACAAATTATTTATTTAATCAATGCAATTGTTTTCCTTTTGTGACAACAGGGTTTATATATATTAACGTATCATATAAAGAAAGCATGTGCTTAAATTTGTATAACATAAGGATTTTCCTAACAACATAGACGAAGATTCCATACAGTATGCTGAAGTGGTACGGATAAAGGTTAGAAGTATGATGATGAGGCACAATCAAGTAGACGAATGTAAAATTACAGAAAGAATAATATTTAATGATCTCAAGTTCAGAACAGTGGAGATAATTAGGCAGTCTAATAATCGAACTCAACCCCTCGCTTTGTTTATTTGATTTTTCAAAGGTAACACTTGGACCAAAAATAATGCAGAGAAACATGATAACCCGTAACCAAGACCACAGAGGGCCCACCCTTCAAGGTAAGGATAACTCCCACCAGATATTTCCATTACACTTCTCTTCCCTCCAATAAAATCAATGACCTTGCCGTCAACAGCTTCAACCGAAGACAAAAAATAAACATTCTTAAACGTCTTCTACAACCTCTTTTTAGAAACGTCATCTACTACCTACATAGACGCCTAGGATATTAAAATATCCACCTTCCATGTACATATAAAAAAATTCAAAAGGCAGGCGTCTCCTTACATAATATTTTTACTAGCTCAGCCGTGAAAGCACTCTGATGCAACCGCACTCCTAACACCATCTTAAGAAATAACTATGTCGCACCCAAACTGCTTTCTGGCTTAGATTCTGTTCTGACATAGGTGAAACCACGAGCGGCGGGAGCGGCAACACTGCCGGTATTCATAGACGAACTACTGTCAGATCCCTGAGCATCCCGCTTCCATTGCAAGCTCCTGGCACCCAATTTAATTGGGGGTCGAGCTCTAAATGCACCAGGAATACCTCTTGGAAAGGGATGTCTGGAAAACCTAGCAGAAGGGAATGGTGAGCCCCTAAAAATGCGTGGCCATGCTATAGCTGAAGCTGATTCTTGATGTGCAGCGCTTTTCTTAACAACCTACAGTAGAGTAAAATCGCAAATAAAATTAGTTCACTAACTTTATATTTAGCTTGAAAGCTACGCGCTCATATTATGCATTATCGGCATGTCTCTAATCAAGCCATTAAAGTTTATTTATCCTGAAAATTATATTTAGCTACAATAGACTGCTACATTGTCTCCTGTACAACTCAACATTTGCATTGCACTGCTGATGTTAAAACGGTTCAACTCCCTAG